TAAGGCCATTTGGGGATGATTCCCCTTATTAACCATGATTCCCAGTGAGGTCGCAGTGAGGTCGTTATAATTTACCCAGAACCATAGTTTTACAGTAACCATGGTTATACCCTTCTATGCCCCCAACTGCAGCCCCAAGTTCCCTCCACATGTCAGTGGTACAGCTGGATGGCCAGCGGATTCCCCCATTTTCAAACAAGGCCACACGTCAAAAATCTCTTGGAACATTCCCTACAATGGTATGTTGCTGGGGGTTCAAGACAAATCAAACTTGACAATTTCCAATATTTCAAGGGTAATATAACCCCCCAGAATCATCAATCATGGAAGCATCGTTCATTAATTTTGTATCGAGCAAAGCTCTATGATCACACAGCAAATCACTGACTAAACCAACCGGGCTTTCGGAAGATTTTTGCATTTAACATGATTTAACCCTTCTACAGGGTGGTGCCCCAGTTCGGAATTGCTAAGTTGGTGCCAATAAGTCCAATAACTATGGTTTTTGTTGGTGATATAACTATAGTTGTCATGGGTTTATAACCCATTTATAACTGGGGGGGGGCACCACCTTCTACTCCTCATGTTTGATGCTTAACTTAGCCTCCATTCAAACCACCATAGTCATCGCTCCTTCGGCATTGGAAGGTCCTCCGACTTCATGACGCGTCCCAAAGGTCGCGGCTACGAGATGAAACGGGGGAAAACCGAGTCCCACGGAATATTCTGGCAAGATACCATTGATTACCCTGGGTTCATGGCTTACATCCCGCACTGAATGTTGAAATACTTTGAAGATCCATAATTTTGGATGGATTTTGTGGATCTGGAGCAGTTGGAGCTCTACAAGTTGGAAACAGGACCCCCCCTGTAGATCTCTTTCAACACGGGGGGCCTCCAATCCTGCACAGACCAATTTGAAACTTCAAGTGAGCCGAGAATCACAGGAAGCACCGCAGTCTTACTGGTGCTTAGCAGGGAATGAGGGAATGATCCACAATATAATCATCCCATTCCCGCATTCCAATCCATTCCCTACTAAGCACCAGTAAGCAGTTGATCCTTTTGAATGGATTCTTGGGATCATCTTCGACATCGCGATGCCACCGAAATCAGGATCCCAAAGTTGGTTTCTGTTCGATTCCAGTGCATGGGAGTCAAATCCTGAAAAAAAAAACTCAAAAAATCAACATGTTCTTACCCATATGATCCATTGGTATATTTACCTACAAAACTGGGTGATTTTTAGGGTAAATTTTGGTAACTATACCATACATGGAGCATGTGGGTTATACAGCAAGTCTCCCGCATGTGTCCATGGTTCGTAGGGGGACAAGATTCAAGAGTCTTGTTGAAATTCTATTGATTGAATCACTGTCCTTTGTGTGTCATATACCATCATCATACCATCCATAGTTGGATGATACAAGGGGGGGCCCATGACTTATGTCTGCTGGTTTATAACCCTGTTAAATACTATGCTGGTTGGTGATTTCAACCATCTTGAAAAATATGAATCAAAGGGAATCATTATTCCCATATATTATGAAAAATAAAAACAAGTTCCAAACCACCAACCAGCAGCTTTTTCTGGGTAAGGATCACAAAAAAATCAAGCTACAACATGGAGGATTCGGTACAAACACTAACCATAAGGTGCCTGAGATCTGCCAGGCAAAAGGTGAGTTTCGCGTTATGAGAATGGCAAATTCACAAAGGAAACAAACACGGGATTACCTGAATAATCATTATAAATTATATCCCATTATCCGATTATATACTGTGTATTCCAACAATAGTGACATTATCATTGTATAAGTGCGTCCTAAAACTCACTGTATCCCATTATTATCCACTAGATTATTCCTTATATCCCTATCTTCGGGAGTGGGCCAAGACATGTGCATCTTATGACCCAGTTACCTTGTGGTAATTTAACATAGTTACGGAACAAGAACCCATGAAAAACACAACATTCATAGGTGAATCATCTGAGCAATTTTTGGCAATTGTCTGTCGTTTTGTCAAATAACCAGATGGTACATGTAACATCTCCAATCGGTCTTGTCTAAATATGTTATATATGGGCTATGAACCACCTATACTGGCATGCAACCCGTATATCCCATTAAAATAAACGTAACAATTAAAATCATATACACACGTTTGGTACTGTTTGATCAGTTGTTGCAACTATCCTTGATACGAAGGTTTATGGACAACTATAGCTTTTGGGTAAGATTTATATGACATATAGCCCATTCATAGTTTGTCTGAAAATAGGGTACCTATAATTTGATGGTTGAGTATAATTTTCCCTACTTGGTGGCGAACTACCCACTTCGTAAGTAGGTTGTAACCCTGGTTATAAGTGGATTAACCCTACTTATCCCACTGAAAAAACCAGGGATATAAGCTACTTAGGATTCGTGGGTAGTTCACCACCAAGTAACCAGAATACTAACCATCATTAACCATGGTTAAACCATATTTTCCCAACATTTTCCCAAGACTTTCCCAAAAATTCTGGGGTATGTATCCCTTATTTCTTTCATGTTGCCGCGGACGACAGAACCCTCTGTCGTCATCCAAGTTCCCGGGCAGATGAACTCGGGGTGCTTCCCTGCGCCAACGTGGGGGGGTGCTGTACTGAATATGGCCATCAATATGGTTTGCATGTTGAACAAATCATGGGAGTACTTGGTGGTGAACTATCCACGAATCCTTTAGGTAGGTTAGTTCACCCTGTTTTTTTCAGTGGGATAAGTAGAGTTCACCCACTTATAACTAGGGTATAGTTATAACCTACTTATTAAGTGGGATGAGCCACCCAGTATGCTTTGCATGTTGAAAAAAATGGGAGTAAAAAAAAAACAATATTACCGGAAATTGTTGTGCTGAGCATCCGAAGCAACTGGTTTATCCAACTGACTGGCTGGGTGATTTTGGAATAACAGCTCCGTTGAGGTCAAAATGTACAGTTTTAGGGTTTCAGGCCTTAGGGTTTCGGGGGTTTAGGGTTTATTGTTTTGGACAGGTGCAAAAAATCTGGCACTACACAGGGATTTGAGCATGTCAAAGGATATGCGGGACTTGTCATTGGCAAACATGGGGTTTGCACCGAACATAAAATACACATACCATCCCAAATGCTCCATGTATGGTATATTTACTAACATTTACCCTAAAAATCACCCAGTTTTGTAATGTTTTGTAGGTAAATATACCAGCACCACGGATCATATGGGAATCAATGTTGATTTACTCGAACATTAAGTTGCCATCTGGCTTGTTTTCACCCCCATGTGCTGTATCAACTAACGGGTACAAGATGGTTTTCCATAGGCTAAGTTGGTTTCCAACTAGGTCAACTAGAGTTTGAAATGATTATAACTAAGCTTAAAAAGTTTATGAACCCAATATTCTAATTCACCATTAAATCCCATTATATATCATTATATCACATATGTTTGGTTTAATGCCAATTGTAAATTATTATTTAGAATCCATGAATGTAATCATCCCATCAAAAAAAACAATAACAATTACCATTAGATAACCACATTCTTACTCATATACTGTACCAAGTGTATCGCAATTACAATCCCTGAAATAGTCATAATCCATCGTAGTCCACTATGCCCAGTATATCACCATTGGCTGTATACCCAGTATATTCATAGAATCCATGAAGCTTTCTCGTTGCCACGTTTGATTTCTTTTGATGACACCTCAGGGTAAATCCCATTCAGTATCCAGTATTAAACCATTACTAAGCCAGGATACCTTTGAAATATCCAATATTTATCTTGGATTTGCTTAAGGGGTCCCCAAAAAATAGAACATATTCACTTAATCGATTCCCCATTTCTGGTGGATTGTCCATTGGGAAAATAAAAAAACACCGACTAAACAAACCCAGGTTATAGATAGCTTTTGGGGTTTTCCCATGTCAGCCTTCATCCTGTCCCGACCTGAGCACTGCCGCCCACCAGCGTTAAGAGAAGCCTCGGTTGATTTTGTTGGCCGATGCTGTGGCGAACCAGCTGAAAAAGTCAAGAACCAGCTGGAGATTATATAAGATGATCATCAGATTGGGTGATAAAAATATGGATATGATATGATGATGGAAATCATTCAGATATTATGGAACATCTAGCGTGGATATTATCTCAGATGATATGGGATGATCTTGGATGATCAATGGAATGGTTGAAGGGAAAATCGAAACCGGAAACCGTTTAAATATCTGTTTAAACTAGTCCATTGAGATGAACTTCAAATGGGGTGATTCATTTGGATAGGAATATGGAAACCACCCATGGTGGAACATATACTATGGAACATCTCAGATATGAGGTAATCATAATATGCTCCATGGTCCATGGTATGTTTACAGCTACATGTTGGTGATTTCAGGGGTAAAACATGGTGAATATTCCATGAAATGACGGCCTCAAAACCATGTTGTGGTGAATCTATTTGGAAATTCTGCCCCCATGCCGGTGACCGGTTGCCGTGAATGTTCGTTGTTCGGTCCGCCCCGGGTAAATGATTCGTGGCTTGCTGTCCGAATACCGGTGTCATCAAACGTGGAAGATCCATGATCCACATCACCAATTTAATTGATTTATAGATGACGATACGTCCCATGTGATCCATGTATGATATATTTACCTACATTTGGATTATTTTTAGTGTAAATATTGGTAAATATACCAGCACCATGTTTCGCATTTGGGATATCTAATCTACCGCAAATCCTGGACCGTGAAATTGTAGTTAGGACCACCTTGTTGCTGGGACCACCTCACTTGCGCAACTCTACAGTGATGACCGTTTACCCATTGTAAAATATTGTAAATGGTGAAATGACTGGTTATTTCTATGGGATTATAACTTCAATAAATGGGGTTTTGTCAGTACTTATAACTGGTATTTCGGGCCATAACTGTAATCCCCAATTGTTTTGCATCCTCCCCACAGCGTGGACAAACTCCTCAGCCCAGCAACGCCAGTTTCGGCACGGGCAAGCCAGACAACCAGGGCGCAGTGCTTGTCACCAATGCGGCGCGACCCTGCCATTCGTCGTGGCCATAGTCGCTCCAGAAGCGCCGAAAAGTGTCCTGGCAGGAGAACATTTAGCGGCTTTCTCAGCCGCGTTGGCGATGTAGCATGAAGTAACCAGCAACAAAACAACTCTATATAATGTAATCTAACATAGCTAAATAGCTATTGAAAATTACCATTTACAGTGTTAAACATGGTGATGTTCCATAGTTATGTTAGCAACAAAAAAAACTACATCTGGTTGGTGGTTGACCTACCCCTCTGAAAAATATGAGTCAGTTGGGATGATGAAATTCCCAATATATGGAAAAATAACAAATGTTCCAAACCACCAACCAGATATAGAATATACCTTCAGCAATTCCAGATCTGGTCATTTATCTAGCTGAATGGGACAATTTAACGAAAATCTAAGGATCTATACAGCCAACGATAAGGGGGACCCACAGTAACCGCTAAAAAATGATGTACCACTTCAGTTGATCTCACGTCATTGTGGATTATCCCGTATTGAATGAAGTTGTGTGTTCATCACCATTTGTTTTGAATGATTGCCACCAAAGATTGGGTATCTGAAATTGAAAGTTGGAATGATGAGAACCCCGCAATAATGCCATACAGATTGATTCATCAAATATATTAAATGCTAGATATGATAATATTGCATTGCTGGCTATTTTTTTGATTCAAAAAACATATTTTTTAATGGTGAACATCCACTGTAACACACTGTAGCACCGCGCACCAAAACTTTAGATACCCCGGGAAAACACCATAAATTCGTATCACGGTTCATTCTAGATAGTTATGGCAAATGGCCTTCTCTAGTCATTTACCTATTGTAAATTATTCTCCATAGCAATTTGTTAGTTTACCAGGGGTGATAATGATGTGGCACCTTCCTCCAATTGTATAGATACCCTCTGTTCCCAATTTAATTTTATAGAATTTCATAGATGATTTTCCCACTAAACCCAACATTTACTAACGGAATTTTCCACAAAGCCACGTTTGAGTACCAGAGGGTAACATCATTTCTCAATCCACCATCACTTATCACTCACATCCCCATTGTTCATGATTAACCCCAAAAAAAATATAGATAAATCACCATCAAAAATCTTGTCAACCACTCCAAGTACCGATATCTCCCTATCTCACGCAATATTTTGATGGTTTTTTGGCCCACCATATTTTGGTAGATAAATCCACCATTTCAATGGTTAACCATGGTGGACCAATCCCCAATGGTTAGTAAGATACGGCAACTGGCTACCTCCAAAAAAATAGCACAAAATCATACATTTGGGGGTTTCTATAACCAATATATCGTATCAGTAAAACACTGTGAAGGTTGCTAATTACAACCAGATAACCAGATAATATTTATCTCGAGTTCGACTTTTTTGGGCACTATACGAATATATGGGGGGTTCCAGAAATGGAGGTATCCCCCAAATGGATGGTTTATAATGGACAATCCTATTAACATGGATGATTTAGAGGTACCCCCATTTATGGAAACCTCCATAAGATTCCATAAGTACATAGCCATCATGTAATCAATAAATATCACGAGAAATACATGGAACCATATCCAACAATTCCCTGACCTCTGTTTCAGGCATCACTTTGCCGCAGTCGCTGGCATCTCGGGACAGCCTCGAGCGTTAAACCGTGGGTTTTGGGATATTCCGGGATGACATATGGATACACATGTCTGGTTGGTGGTGGACCTACCCCTCTGAAAAATATGAGTCAGTTGGGATGATGAACTTCCCAATATGATGGGAAAGTCATAAAATGTTCCAGTCACCACCAACCAGATTCTGGTGACAACAGCAAACTCGATCGTATCATCGGCAAACATCTTAAACATGACAATGAATTCTCAGAGAGTGGTGAAACCTAGGACCATGTCTCGTGGCTGAAAAAAAACATCGAACCATTGGTTCTTAGCAGATTATTAACCATTTATCAACCATTTAGTAACCATATGAAGCAATATTTGCTAAAAATGACGATAATATATGCGCCATTATTGACCATTATTTGAACACAATATGTCAACACCGTAAAACCAACAGTAAAGCTGGTGAACTAAACCCACCTCTGTGATTTAGCTGGGGCAATACCTTGCACCCAACTGGGACACGGTTGATAGGTTGCCACAAGGGAATGAAGACAATGACCGAGGCAACAAGTGGGATTGCCAAATTTGGAGTTTCGACCTGCTTGCGACTCATTAAACTGTGGATAGTTTCCAAATTTGACACTCCCACTATAGTTGGTTGTAATTAGTTGTCGATTTAACCAACTATGACTATAACGTGTTCGCCACAACCCCCACGTTCGCCCATGTTCATCATATCCCCCTATATCTCCCTAGCTACATACTTGTCCCCCAAAGGGTGAACGCAAACACTGGCTATAGGCAGAGATTTAGACTTTAGGCTTTCAGGATTTGAGGTTATATTATGGTTTCGGTCGGGTTCAGGGTTTTAGGTCTCCATGTTGTAGGCTTAGAATTTCAAGGTTTCAGGGTTTGTTTTGTTTTGTTTTTTTTTTTTATTGGCCCTACACAGGGATTTGAGCATACGGGAATGGATCGCGGGCACATCTAGGTTTTGCAACGAACATGTCTGGTTGGTGGTTGACCTACCCCTCTGAAAAATATGAGTCAGTTGGGATGATGAAATTCCCAACTGAATGGAAAAATAAAAAATGTTCCAAACCACCAACCAGATATAGAATATACTAGTACCTTCAGCAATTCCAGATCTGGGCCTATAAACCTATCATCCAGATATTGGTGTACATCCATTTATGGAAACCTCCATATTTAACCAAATCTAGCCAGAATCTGACCAGATATATCCATTAATTAATGATTTCAACGATCCCAACGAAATCCCCGTGGCCAAGCCATCCAAGCCACCGTTCGACATTGGTCGCTTCGATGAACATTTCGACCTCCACACCTGCGCAATGGACAAAGATGTGGCAATGACAAGTTCTTCCAAACCATAGGAAAACCATAGGATCATGATAATTTAACCACTATAAATGGTGACTTAATGGTGAATTTCATGGGATGATATGGGAATTGCCCTCTGGTAATTTAACATAGCTATTGAACATCACCATGTTTAATGGGCATATCATATATAAATGGTCATTTTCCATAGCAAACTGTTAGTTTACCATAGGGTACATCGATTTTTTGTCTTTTGTGGACCAACCTCCTCCATCCCATGGTTGAGACATGACATTTCCCTGGTTGTTGGTTGGCCTACCCCTCTGAATAATATGAAAGTCAATGGGAAGGATTATCCCATATACCAGTAGTACCGCACAAGGCACAAGGCGGTGGCGGAAGTTTCAAAAATAGGAAACCTATAGGAGAGGTTGGTTGGTGTGAATCAGGGATGGCAGAGCGAAGCCACTGATGGACCGAAAGGTGCTTGAGGTCTCCTCTCTTTCTCTCTCTTTCTCTGACTATCTACCTACCTACCTACCTACCAATCTATCTATCTATCTTTCTATCTATCTATCTATCGATCTATCTCTCTCTCTCTCTCTCTTTCATCTGTCTATCTGTCTAGCTGTCTACCTGTCTATCTGTCTATCGATCTATCTATCTATCTATCTGTTTGTATGTCTGTTTATCTGTCTACCTGTCTATCTATGGCGCAGTGTCATTCAGTCTAATGTAGCGTAGTGTACTGTAGTGTAGTGTAATGGAGTGTAGTGGAATGTAGTGTAGTGCAGTGTAATGTAGTGTAGTGTAGTGTAATTTAGTGTAGTGTAAATTAGTGTAGTGGAGTGTAGTGGAGTGTAGTTGTAGTTGTAGTTGTAGTGTAGTTGAGTGTAGTGTAGTGTAATGTAGTGAAGTGTAGTGGAAGGTAGTGTAGTGTAGTGTAATGTACTGTAGTGGAGTGTAGTGTAGTGTCATGTAGTGTAGTGTAGCGTAATTTAGTGCAGTGGAGTGTAGTGGAGTGTAGTGGAGTGTAGTTGTGTAGTTGTACTGTAGTGTAGTGTAGTGGGATGTAGTGTAGTGTAATGTAGTGTAGTGGTGTGTAGTGGAGCGTAGTGGAGTGTAGTGTAGTGGAGTGTAGTTGTGTAGTTGCAGTTCTATTTGTAGTCTAGTGTGAGTGTAGTGTAGTGTAATGTAGTGAAGTGTAGTGGAAGATAGTGTAATGTAGTGCAGTGGTGTCTATCTGTCTACCTGTCTATCTATCTATCTATCTATCTATCTATCGATCTATCTATCTATCTAGCTAGCTATCTATCTATCTATCTATCTATGTATCTATCCATCCGAATTCCGAATCCATCCATCTACCGTGTACTGATGCGACCCTCATATTCCTAAATTGAAACTTCAACAGCTCCTACAGTGTTAACACAACTTCGCGCCACAACTATGTGCACTTTTTCAACATCCGAACCTCCAAAAGTGGCGCGAACATGTGGTGTTTTGTACATTTTGACTTGGAAATGTGCTTCACGCCAAAACAGCGTGCACTTTTTCGACATCTCAACTTCCAAAAGTGGTCCGAACATGGTGTGTTTTGTACATTTTGACTTGGAAATGTGCTTCGCGCCACAACAGCGTGCACTTTTTCGACATCTCAACTGCCAAAAGTGGTCCGGAGCTGGTGTGCTTTGTACATTTTGACTTGTAAATGTGCTTCGCGCCACAACGGCGTGCACTTTTTCGGCATCTCAACTGCCAAAAGTGGTCCGGAGCTGGTGTGTTTTGTACATTTTGACTTCGAAATGTGCTTCGCGCCACAACGGCGTGCAATTTTTCATCTCTCATCTGGCCAGCTGGCTCCGCACCCGCGCCTACTTTTCGACCCTCCGGAGCCTCAAATCATTGGAAAAACACAGTGTTTCGCGACTTTCCTACCCTTTCGTGCATCTGCATCTTCTTTCTTCTACTCTTCTTTCTTCTAATCTTTCTCTTCTCTCTGCCTCTTCCCTACTCTGCTTTTCATCTGTCCATATTGTCGGAAGTTTGACTTCTAAACTTCCTTCGATTATGGAAAATAAAAAATGTTTGAAACCACCAACAAGTTCCTCATCATAGATGGCCTCACATTGGAAGGTCAAAGCAAGTTTTGGACAAATCCAATAGTCATGGATGACCATTTTAGCACTGAAAGCTATGGTGACTTGGGGATCCCCCATTTTAAGAAATTTCCAGATCTTCCCCAATATTTCCAGATCTTCCCCAATATATGGAGGTTTCCTGAAATAAGGGTAACCCTAAATCATCCATTTTAATTGATGGGATTGCCCTTTGTAAACCATCCATTTTGGGGTACCCCCCATTTATGGAACCCATCATGTCAACATGTTTTTTCTTAGCCCATAAATAGCAACAACATATGTGATTCCTGCGAAGGGTGTATTCCCGTCATTGCTGCTACCCAAGCTTTGCTGCCTAAACCCCACATCAGGACATCTCCATTTTTTGACAACATTGATATACCATGATATACCCCTTCTGATTCCATTATGAACGCATAACAAATGGCTATGTTATCATCATTTTGCGAAGTATTTCATGGCATTTCTTGGCCATCTGATTGGTAATCCATCCAGCCTTCAGCTTTTCGGACCCCCGTTGCTTCGTCTCCGGTTATGCCACATTTTGGGATGGTTAAAGCCCATGGTTAGCACCATGAAAAGAGGTGGTGCCCCATAGGTAGCTAGGTTGCTAGCTTAAGTATTTATAATTAATCTGTCACAGCTGGGTTTCTGTTAGATGTGTCCAAACAGAGACATTTGAGCTAGAGACCAAGAAACATGGGGCATCGGATTGTGGGTGTGTTCCTAACCCTAAGTTTTTTGATTTTGTTTTTTCCGTAGTTTGATGGTTGCGTATGGGTCTATCATGGGGATATCAATGGGGATATATGACTGGGGATATCAATGGGACAAAAACGAACCAACTTGATCTGGGATGCTGTAATTCTCAGGTGAGTCCCCAACTCAGGTGCTGCCCAAAATAAATGCTACAAACATTCTGTTGAGGCGTTTGCCTTGTTGCAGCCACATCATTCTTCCAGGAGAATCCAGGACGGTTCGTATAGGGTTGTATAGGTTCCAGGTGGTTTCAATGTGTTCCAATAGTATCCAGTATAGCAGGGAGAATGCCAACGCATGCCAACACACCCCAGAGCTGTCGGCAGCGCGTCGGCCAGCCTCACGACCGCTCGGAGGGTGGCCATTTCCTGGGATGGGGCCCTGGTGTCGAACCGCACCGCCGCGTGCTTGTGGAACGTGGAGCTGAGGAAGTTCACGATCTCAGGATTCGCCTGCGCTGAGACGAGCGGCGTCGGTGGTGCCATCGCGGTCGCTGTCGCGTGGTGAGGCCGCGGATGAAGCAACGCGTACCGCCTTGTCATCACCTGTTCTGACACCTTGTTGTCGGCGTCAGCTGAAGCCATAGAAGCTGCGATGCCTGCCAAGACCCCAGACGCGCGAGCGGCAGATGCCTTTGCGATGGCTTGCTGCGCGCTGACCGAGCATGTGAATACTTGTACTTCTGAAATCTGCAGGTTTCTGCGTCAAAGTCTGCTCGGCAACCAGTAACTAAAAGCATCAGCTTGCAGTTGACCCACATGACCCACCTTTAGCACATTGCTAGGGAGATTCTGGGTCATTCAGCAAAAGAGACTTGATGCGCCATGGTGGATTTCCACTGGAAAAAAACAAACGATCATCTAGGGCAAATCCAACGCATTATGCTTAGGTTAGGATCCACTATTAATCCACTATGTTTATCATTAATAATATGGGAACTAGTGATATTTTGTTGGTGATATATAGGTTTTGTTGGTGATTGATTAACTATTGTCCACTATTATCCACTATTATCACTGGTTGCCCTCTGGTAAACTAACATAACTATGGAGAATCAACATTGGGTAAATCAACGAACTTTCTATGGCCATGTTCAATAGCAAACTGTTAGTTTTCCAGAGTGTATCTTCCCATATCATCCAATTATTCACCATTGTTCACCATTGTTAACCCATTGTTAAACCATTAAATCCACCAGATAATCCACTATTATCCACTACTATCCATCATAACCACGATAACCATCACTAACCATCATTAACCATTGCTAAACCCATGTTTTTCCCAAATGTTCCCAGTTAAATCCACCAGATTTTGCTCAACCTACGTCCAAGGCACGTTTCCCTTGCCACGTCGGTCTCCATCTTTGGAAGACCAAACCCTCCACCATTACGGCGTCGCCGGGTTGGGCCACACCCACCAGGTCGCCAAAGACGGTCCTCGTTGGTGGAGCCGTCGTTTTTTGCGGAACATGCGCCAGGAGTATGGATCAATGGTGATTAATGGTTAAACATGTTGATTATATAATGGACTTTCATGGTGATTAATGCTTCAACATGGTGATGTATGGTCAAACATGGGGATTAATGGTGATGAAATTTGTTGATTGTTGGGTGTGATTTGACCTTCAGCAAACATGGCAGTGGACATGACCCGTGGTGATCCATTTCGCTCAGACTTTAGGTGGTTTGATGGTGGTTTTGTGGTGAATTTATGGTGAAACCAATGGTGAATGTATGGTGAATATAGTACCATCTGGTTATGACTAACATAGCCATGGAAAGATCCACCCATGCTATTAATAGGTAAACCATCTATTTCTATGGACCATCTATACCATGGCTATGTTAGTCATAACCAGAGGGTAGATCCCATTTCTTCGCTTTCAGGTAGTGATTGCATGACACGGTCGATGAATCGATCAAAAAAACATGCGGAGCAGACCATTGGATTCTATCGTCGAACAGGGAGTAGCATGGAACCCCCTAATACTTGATCAAAATCGGTTTTGGTCTTAAAACCACTCTATTTACCCTTACCCTGGTTCCTTGCAAAGAGGTAAAACCTGCTTGCCTTCAGCCATGTACAGCACACTTTGAACCCGGAATTCTGCAGGGTGGTGCCCCTAGTTATAAGTTGGTTAAACCATAGATACCTACTCAATTTTGAAAGTGCATGGCTCTGACCTACTTTCTCAGAGGTGGTTGCGCCATCTATTTAGTAGTGAAAAAAATCAATCCGATATGTACCCGAAACAGCAAATGTGCCCGAAGATGGCGCAACCCTACATGTGCAAAAAGGGCCAAATCGCGCCATCTACCCCATGTTTAACTTAAATCCCTTCTTCCGGGACTGGACATTTCGGTCATCAAACCGTTGAAAAAGTAAGGGGTGTGTGTGTGTGTGTGTGTTCAACAAAAGGGTTTCGGGGAAAGGATTTTTTCACTACTAAATAGATGGCGCAACCACCTGGGACAGTGCCATCCAATTGCAGGAGAAAGGAGAAAGGAGAAAAGGAAAGGGAAAGGGTGAATTATGCAGAGGCTTGGAAACTTTGGACTTAAGAATCCCTGCATAGATGGCGCAACCCTGAAACATCCTTCTCCTTTCCTTTTCCCCTTCTTTGTTCTCTCCTTTTTTCCTTTCTCCTTTCTCATTTCCCTTTCTTTTTCTCCTTTCTCCTTTTCCTCCTCCTTTTCCTTTCCCTTTCGAAATGGAACGCAGTGGTAACCTATAGTTGGCGCAATCCACAGTTTTGGTTTCCCCAAAAAAATCTTGTTGCCTTTTCCCTTTCTCCTTTCTCCTTTCCCTCCTCCCCTCACTGTCCCTTCCCCTTTCTCCTTTCCCTTATGCTTTCCCTTTCCCCTTTCCCTTTCTCCTTTTCCCATTTCCCCTTTCTCCTTTCCCCGTTCCCTTTCTCATTCCCTTCCCCCTCTTCCTTTCTCCTTTCCCTTTCCCTGTATTTTTCTCCTTTTTCCCTCCTCCTTTCCCTTTCCCTTTACAAATGGAACGCAGTGGTAACCTATAGATGGCGCAATCCACACTTATGTTTCCCCGAAGAAAATTCCAGTTCCCTGTTCCTTTCCCTTTCTCCTTTCTCCTTTCCCTTTCCCCCCTGCATAGATGGCGCAACCCTGAAACACATTGGCAACACATTCTGGCATAGATGGCGCGACCCACAAAAGTAAGGGGGATGGATGTCACGCCCTTTTCGGGTGTCAAAATTCAAAAAGTCGGCGCCATCTATACGCGCACTTTGGAAGAGGGCGGGGCCATCTACTTTGAAAATTGTGTAGATATGATATATGTTGGTTTATAGTCCATAGAAACCTGTTCAAAAATTGGTTTATAAACCATGGATAACCATAGTAACTAGTTCCATATATCTACTATAAATCCTTTCGTGAAACTGGAGTTGTTTACCCACCAACGAATCGCGAACATTCATCACTCACTGCACCAGCTTATGGCTGATCATCCAAGACTCACTGCACAGGATTGAGGTACAACACCAACGCCCATCGCTTGCATATCATCTTGCACTCCTCAGCGGAAACGGGGAGATGGGTGAAACATGGTGAAACTGTTGGCACCCAAAATGGAGGTTCATGCAATAAACCGTGTCATAGTAGGATGCACTTAGATCTTCGAGCATGCTTTGTGGTTCCTAAGTCCTAAGTCCTTATATGTTTGACCCATACTTACCTTGGTAATTAGTTTCCCATTTTGGGAATGATGTTTAATCTTTTGAGATCTGTCCAAGTGTCTGTAAATTTCATCTGCTGCTTCAATTCTACGGAACCATTCATGGCCCACGAGCGACACGGAAAGATATGTCAGCTGCTTCGCCATCTCTACAGTCAAGACTTTTGTTGCAGTGGCGAGACACATACACATCACCAAGTATACCACTCCACCAAAGATCTGCTCACCGGGACGCTGAAAGATCATTCCCTGCGGATGGAAGCCCAGTAACCTCAACTTGATTGATGTCATGAGCCCGCGCCGAAACGTGGAAAACAGTTCCTTTCTTGAGTCCTTGTTGCTGACAAATCTCCATCCGCTGGTTTGCGGTTGAGCCTATGCCCAGCCACTCTCTTTGCGCTGAAACCTATTGTGTATGTCTTCCTCGGAAGACATAACTACCTCCAGCGTGGCGTAGCCGTCGAAGAGCAAGGCGTCCAACACCGAAAACACTCCAAAAGGCACAGTTTTCTTGATAAGCTATTGATTGTGGCACATAAAGCTTAGAACCGAGTCTGGTGTAATTTACCTTTGGGCATGTTTGCCACAAAGGGCATGTTCAGAACCTGCTGCTTTTCCCAAATTATCTTCCAGAACCTATATCTGCCAAAATCCAGCCAGACATGTCAGATTTGCCCACGCAGCAATTTATCAACGGTACTGCTTGGTATGGGCTGGTTTTAAAAAGGTCAACCAAACTGATTGGCCTTGATGTTGGACCCGGTGGTATATGTATTTCTTGTTTCCAAGGGCATTCTATACTGGTTGGTGGTTTGGAACATTTTTATTTTTTCCATATTGGGAATAATCATCCCAACTTACTTTCATATTTTTCAAGATGGTTAGAACCACCAACCAGCCATGATTGAACTGGGTTTTGGATGGTGGTGGAACACTGTGTGTTTGGTTCAGTGATCCCAGTACGAATCAGGTTGATTTAAAACTTCAGAGTAGTACACAATAAAATCTAAATAAAATAAATAAGCTAAAAGTTAGTAAAATGTCTATGTACCACTTGATTTTATAACATTTTAAAATCTAAATAAGCTGCAAGTACATTTTTTCAACTTGCCACCAAACATCGGCCACATACTGAATATAATCATTTACGGCATACCGTCAGCTATATGCCACAAAATTATGCGGATGGAATGGTGCTGCGAATTGCATTACTATGGCTATATATCAAATGAATTAAAATGATATGTACCAGCATACTGCATACAGTCATATATAGTATGATGGGAGGCTGTGCTGCATTAATCTGCGTAATCATACTTTTTAGTGAAGCAGATTCACATAGGCAGGAAATAGGCGCTGAAAACTAGTGCTTGGTTTGTTGTAACAACACCTTATTAAGATCATTATTTCCATAGGAGTGATGAAAACTCAACTTTTGAATATGCCGCCACGTACCCATGAAGACATGATTCGTAAGATGATAACACTTGTTGGTTAATGAACAAGTTAGGTGAATAACCTACTAGTACAGGCAGTTTACGCTTAAAAAAGCATAGTCAGCGACATGTCACTGATTTCAAAACATATATACATATATAATCATATATATATATATAAAGACAAAATAACAATTAAAACGTGTATATAAGTAAGTCCGCCAGTTCTTACCCTGTTGATCCACATGCAAACAATATCCGTTTTCCTCAAGCTGTTCCCCTTTTGCTCCACATGGGAAACACCTCCAGCTAGCGAAAAAAAAAAATGTGTCAAAATCTTCCAGCTTTACCCCGTTGGGTCCACATGTGATGAAAATGTTCCACTCCATTGAAAAACATCGCTACCCGGCCGCTACCCCATCTTATGGATCATAGTAGATCCCCATCACCCCAAAATGCTGGATGATGAGGATTGCGGTGCTTGGTGATGGGTGGGTGGTGTTGGTGCTGATGGGTGACGATGGTAGATGATGGTAATTGTCATGGTGACGGGTGATGCTGTATATGGATGATGAACGGTGATATTATATATATATATATGGGTGATGGTGCTGGGATGATGGTGATGGATGAGGACGAGGATGAGGATAAGGATGAGGCTGAGGATGATTATGATGATTATGATGATGATGATGATGATAAGGATGATAATGAGCCACATCAATTGAATAAAAGAAATCATGGAAAACAACTTGTGTGGGCCATTTACCAAGGGAACCATGGGACTGTGTCACCATACAAAGAGGATATAGCATAAATAAAATATGATATCATAAGTACAACGTATATAGTTTTAAAAAACAAACAAACGAAAAATCGTAATCTCCTACGTCTCCCACCACGGAAGCCAATATTCAATATATCCTTCATACAGCATCATTAAGCCTTCAGCCCATGAGCCAAGACTCGGATTTCCTGAAAGTCAGCCATGCACGTCTCATCATGCGGCAGGCTTGCCTTGAATGTGCTGATGTGGATGTCTGGGGAAAAGCAAGCAATTTTTTCCGACACAAACCTGGGATTTTTTTACGGATCCCCATATCCCAACAATATCCCAAAATTCATATATTCCAACAATCATTCTCCAAGTAAAATATGGTAAATTGTCCAACAATCATCCAACAAACCTGGCATATTCCCATTTTTTCTGGTAAATGATCACACTACTTACTTGTGCGTTTTACGCAGGGAATTTTCGGGAATGATCCACTGGCTAACTATCATTTTTATCATCCCAGCAACCCCATTCCCAACCCATCCAGCAACCCTACGTTTAGCACGCACGCACCAGTAAGACTTAGATCCCCATGAATATCCAATGAAATATGGTAAATGATTACACTTAAGAAAAAAAAACTGGGATATTCCCATGAATATGTCCCATTAAACCTGGGATATTCCCATCCAAGTTGCAAAGAGCTTGGAATGGCACTTCGACACTTTGGGACGCTTGGCCTCCGAAAAACAAAAACGCGCAGCCAGGGGCCAGGGGGGATCATCATCGATGGGAAAACATCCTACGGCTGGTTGATACCCGGCCTGGCAATGACTGTTACAGTTTGCGAACTGGAAGCCATGGCACATAGGAATAGTTGATCTACCTATAATAAATATGTTTTTTTTTCCATAGTTAAAACTGTTAAATTACCAGGGGGTAACTATAGATGGTTCATAACATAGCCATAGATGGCTTCACCATAGATATATACAGTTTGTTATATCCAACATAAACCATACTTGATGGTGGTTCATCCTACGAATCCTAAGTAGGTTATATCCGTGTGTTTTCACCAACAAAACAAAGGGTGAAATAACCTACTTACTAAGTGGGATGCGCCACCAAGTAAAGTGGGGTACCCATTTAACATCCCCAATTAGACCATTTTAGCATTAAAACCTATGGTTTTTGGGGGATCCCCCATTCCTCTAAATGATGAGAAACCTCTGCATAATTATTGGTACCATGGGGTACCATTTTCAACCACACTCATATGGCTCATATGATGTCATATGGTTAAAAAAGGTTATGAACATAGATTATGTCGGCACGCCATACATCCATACCATATCTTCGTACAAATAGTAACCTGGTTCTCTGGGGACACAAATGCAAACACCTCAATCATCAATGAACAAATCTCAGACATAGCAGCGTTAAGTGTAAGTAAATTGATGTTGAAATCTTCAATCTACCCATGGTTTCCTCAACACAAGCAATCCAACTAACTAAACGCAACCATCCCAACTTCAACTCCAGATGCTCCCCCACTTTGTTGGTTTTCTTGGTATTGCTCGAGATGGCCCAAAAAATAATCCCTTTAGATTCCCCCAATGGTGGATTTCCCATTAAGAGAATGACAAAATCCACCATTGTCCATAATAGTGGTTATCCATAGTGGTTATCCATAGTGGTTATCCATAGTGGTTATCCATAGTGGTTATCCATAGTGGTTATCTTAGTGGTTATCAGCCATTAACATTTCCCTGGTTGGTGGTCTGAACCCCTCTGAAAAAAATATGAAAGTCAGTTGGGATTATCCGTCCCAATATATGGAAAAACTAAATTCATGTTCCAAACCACCAACCAGTTCCCATTAAGAAAATGACAGATTCCAATTAGCTTCAGCAAATCACCCAACGGGATAGTCCTGGTGAGTCCTGGTGAATCGTCGTCCCAGGAGGTAGGACATCCCACGTAGAACTGGCCCCTTTTAGTGGCCCCGCGTTGCGGGAAAGCCGTTGCAGAACACAACACAAGACACAAGAAATGATGATATAATGGTGGTTAATGATAATAATAATAATAATGATGATAATAATAATAATAATAAATAATAATAATAATAGTAACAATAATAATAATTAATAATAATAATTAATAATAATAATATATATATATATCTGGTTGGTGGTTGACCTACCCCTCTGAAAAATATGATGTTATTCCCAATATATGGTATAATGATAATAGATGATATAATGATATGGCCAATCAGCCAGATACCCTTCAAACAAAGAAATTCTTAGCTGGTGAACGTAGATAATCCCATTGATACCCAGCAAGACTTGTTAGGATTAGTTTCTACCCATCTAAGATTAGCCTAGACACCACGGGATCATCATTTTAAATTTCTTTGGCTGCAAAGGTCGAACGGCACCAGCGACATGGGAGGGTCTCTGAACTGCGCCATGAGAGCAGCTATGGTATGTTTGCAACTGATCCAGTCGCTGGCAGCAGTCAAATTGTGCTTCGTTGCTCACACCATGGGCAAAGTCCATAGTGCTGGTTCCCAGGATTCCCAGGTGCCAGTTGTTCCCAGGGGAGCCAGGTGCCGGCGGAACAACATCAGAACCTCCCGGAGGCGCAGCCGCAGCTGCCCAGAAACATACGCTAGTCCGACTAGTCCCAAGAACTTTCCAGTGGATTTATAATATGGATTTTATGATTTATCATGCAGAAAACCACGCAGTGCAGTTTAGAGATTTCGATCAAATCTCCACAATATCCTAAATAAATCACCAGTGTTGCTTGTCAAATCGCAGCAGATTCGTTAGTTCACAACCTATTCACCGCTTCGGTTACCCATTGAATTGGTTACAGGAATAAAACCCATCGTGAACCCGTCTTTCAGCACTTACACCAATATGCGCTATGCCCAGAGGGGCAACACATATGTGTATATAAGCAACATGTTTACCAAATGTTATATAGTTGAAATATCCCATAAACTGGACGCGTTCATCCTCCCGCCATTCAACATGGACGTTAAGATACCCACAATTTGTAGATCAATTCCAGAAACCATGCGTTTTCCAAATTTACTATGTTAATTCGCCGGAGAGTAGTTGTAAACAATGATTCTATTGCGCATGATAATCTGACATCCCATCACAAGCCATAAGCCCATCAGCCGGTCAAAATAAACACATCATCAACCCCTCATTCACCCCTTTTTCAGAGTTTTGTCTTGAGGGTATAACCCAGCTACTAACCAGTAAACTAAATCCATGGCCCAAATGTGAGTAGGCCCCCATTTGTCAGGCACATGGCATGCACATGATCTGCCAGTATATGTATATATACATATACAGTATAAACATCTCAACAACCATTTCCAGTGATTCCAATCATCCCAATCATCCAAACAGTTGATCCCAAGTTTCTATTAGTTGTAGGTGTGTCGTATAATTTCAAGATTTCCCAGTTCCGCCAAAGAGATCCAAATAGGTTCAATACCAAAATGGACAAAATAGATATCCAAATAGATTCAAAATATATCCAAAATATATATCCAAATAGATTCAATAGCAAAATGGATAGAACCCCCAAATAGACAGAGAGAACCGTTGAAATTGAGGACACATCATCGAATTAGCAGCTTGGTTTCACACTTTTTGGCATCTTTTTGGGAACCCGTAGCAACCCCGTTGCCAAAACGATCCGAAACGTATTACTGGGATGGTATAGAATATGTATAGATTATTACCCAAATGCTCCACGGTGCTGGTATATTTACCACCGTTTACCCTAAACATCACCAAGTCTTGTAGGAAAATATACCATCATACATGGATCATATGGGGTATAGATTATGATTTTCCCATAAATTCCAGACTTCTAACTGTTTTATCTCCTTGATTTCCTTGAGGATTCCCCGCAACCACCATGCCCCAAACCATGCTTTCTTGGTGAAATCCACCATGGTTCCTATGGTTTTCCTATGGTGTCCCATCAAATCACCATAAAAAACCCAGTTAAATCACCATGAAATCCCATAAATCACCATTAAATCCCAGTTAAATCCTATTAAATCCCACAAAATCCCATTAAATCACCATAATTAAATCCCAATAAAATCCCATTAAATCACCATTTTTCGAGGTTATTTGCCCCAACTTTCATGTCCCATAGAGGGCCCTGACCTTGGGATCCCATTTGGTCTGCTTTTGACCACCGGGACATTCTCGAGGAACTTCGAAGTCATATCCACAGGCGGCGGACGCGCGACAGCCGAAGCTATGCCCACACTGCCTCAATGCACAAAGGCAGTCACCAAGTATAATTAGTATAGTTTAGTAGTTCATACTAAGTAGGTTAGTTCACCATGTTTTTGTTCAGTGGGTTTTCAGTAGGTTAATCCACTGAAATAGCTAGGGTTATAGCTAGTTAATACAAAAAATGATTTAGATGCCATCTTAGTGATATTATGATACTAATGTTGCTAAAAAAAACAGCGTGTTTACCAAGTATCAAATAGCTAATAAAAAATCTGATTCAACCATCATTATAATTAGTGACTCAACAATATTGATAATATTGCATTTAGTATCATTTAGTAGTATTAACTATCATTGATATTACTATCATTATAGCCACTTAGTAGTTTAGTAGTACTACCATTAAGTATCATATTATCACCAAGTTCACACGGTAGTTAAGTGGCAACAATGATAATATGCTACGTAACACAAACATTGTGATTTTATTGGGATATAATGATAATGTAATGATAGCCCAAATAGTTACGTAATGTTCAGTATAGTTAGCATAGTTATACCAACTACAGTAGTTTAAGTCGAATGGAGTTTCAACCAACAAGAAATGGAGGTTTCCAAAGTCACGGGGTACCCCAAATCATCCAAACCAAATGGTTGACCATTTTAGTATTGAAACCCATGGTGACTTGGGGATCCGCCATTTTAAGAAACCCCCAAATGGATCCAAATGGATGTTTGACATGTTTTTCACATCTTAAACAATCCCATCCAAACTTAGGATATTCAACTCAAAAACAAAAACACAATTTCTAAGCCGAGTAATTTTAGGATATCTAAAACTAAAAAATAGGGCGTGAACCAACATGAAATGGATGTTTACATATCTGAAGTAAAACAATTTGGGATATCGAACTAAAAGAACATGACTTCACTGTTTCGCAACATAAATTGGACTTTAGCCAACAACATTCCGTTGGTCAGGTGGCAGTGGCCATTTTGACGAAGGTGGCACATCTGGGCTTGGAAGATATGTGGATTGCAGTTGGGGTTATTGATATATATATATATATATGGCATGATATCGCCATGGTAAGTACTGCAGAAGTTCGGAAATGATTCGTATAACTATAGTTATGACTGGATGAATTTTATAGTCCAGTTTGGATCAGTCATTTATATAACTGGTCATTTATCATGTTATACCTATAACTTATAACTATAGTTCGTTTATAGGTCCAACGAAATGACTGGTTTTTTGTGGATGTATTTCACCGTGTCGTTGGCCATTTTTGGGCCATCGCAAGACTTCTGGGTGATTTCATCGCATGGTTCATGGAGTTATACCTGGTTGGTGGTTGACCTACCCCTCTGAAAAATGATGGAGTTCGTCAGTTGGGATGATGAAATTACCAATATATGGGAAAATAACACTTCATGTTCCAAACCACCAACCAGATACCCATTAATAAACCCCAACTGCACCCCTACAGACCCCACATGGCCAATCAGCCAGATACCTGATTAGCTGGTGAACGTGGATAATCCCATTGATACCCACCAAGACTAGTTAGGATTAGTTTCTACCCATCTAAGATTAACCTAGAAATATGGTTTTCCCAGCTTATAGGTGATTTGCCCATATTTTCCTATGGTTTTCCTATGGTTGTCCAACACAGCTGTCGCGATATACCCAAGGCCGAGAACTCGCATCGAAAGTTGCGCCACTCTTGCACCACCTTGCCAGGCTTCCCAAGCACCGTGCAGCAATGCAAAAGCACAAGGGAGCTACCCGTACTACATCTATTATCTAAAATAGGGGGTGATCCATGTTAATCCTAAAATAGAGTTGTATAGTTAACTAGTTAATCCAAAAACTTGAAATAGGATGTTTTGTTCTATATCTACAGAAATCTATACAAGCAACAAAATGAGATGAATTCTGCAGTTAGCCATATTTCTATATCTACAAACATCTGACAAACCAATGCCTGGGTTGCCCATTGATATACTCATGGTGATTTTTGGACAATCACCCATGGTGGTTTATTTTCTGAAAATTCAAATGGTGATTGTCCATTGTTATGTTCAATAAAACCAAAGGGTATATCTGTAAAAATACCACCACATGATCAGAATATCATTCATATCCACCATCATCAAGCATCATTCCATTATAAATTCATCATCATGTTGTCATGATTTTAGCATCATTATATCATCATTACCCTCCAGGAAATTAACACAGACCCTGGTAGTCATCGGGGTTGGAAGATGGGTTTCCACTAAAAAATAGTTTTTTTCAGGGTCCAACTGTGAATTTGCCAGAGGGTACATCCCATAAATGGGATCGTCATCATCGACCATCGTTATATCGTTATGCTACCATCATCATATCATTGTATGAGGGTTTTAGAATGGAAAATCCCGGTAAAATGGATGATTTGTGGGTACCACCATTTTAGGAAATATCCATATAATCTATTATAAATATAACAACTGGTATATCATTACATCATTATACATCATGTTATTCTTATCATCATATCATTATGTTACCGTCAGTATATCATACCATCAGTATATCATTATATCATCTATTATCTTACTATGCCAATCTTAGATGGGTAGAAACTAATCCTAGCTAGTCTTTTGGTATCAATGGGATTATCTACGTTCACCAGCTAATAATTTGTCATGTTTTGCAGGGTATCTGGCTGATTGGCTATGGTTATATCAGTTATATCATCATTTATATAACCATAATATATAACTGTTATAACATAATCTATTATATATAACTGATATAAATCATTATCATTATATCATCATTTATCATGATTTACTGCTTGGTGGTTGACCTACCCCTCTGGCAAATATGAGTTCGTCAGTTGGGATCATGATTCCATTCCCAACTTTTCATGGAAAGTCACAAAAATCCATGGTTCCAGTCACCACCATCCAGACTATTAACCACTATTAACCACTACTAACCATTATTAACCCATGTTTGAAACCACCAAGCAGTGATTTTTCTACCCAGTTCCCACCCGTTCCTCCGTTCCTCTGCTCAGGTGCCTTCACCGGCCCAGCGCGTGTGATGGTGCCACAAATGCGAACCAGCTGGCCATCATCGCCTCCAAAGGGGGTGGAATGTGGTGGATCTCGATGTCCACGGGTTGATTGATATAAGCCATCAGAAATGGACACCCGGCCTGGTAACCCTATGGTTTAATGGTGGAAATGATGGTTAATGATGGTTAATAGTGGTTAATGATGGTTAATAGTGGATTATCTGGTGGATTTAATGGTGATTTAATGGCTTAACAATGGCTTAACATTGGAAAATTGGGATGATAATGGGATATACCCTCTGGTAGACATACAAAAAACGATGGAAAACCACCATGCTATTAATGGGTAAATCAACTATTTTGATAAACTGGGCCATTTTCCAGTTCGCTATGTTAAGCTACCTGAGCGTAAAAATTGAGATTTCAGAATCAAACTTTGAGAGATGTCATCAACAACTACTGCATGACATTCCTGCTGGGAAACTCAACCCCTGGATTGTTTTTTTGGAAGAGGCTAATGATAGAACTAAAAATTACGCTTCAACGAAGAAAAATGCGGATTTACACAAGCCTTGAAGTGGCTTATTGATACTTGATTTATGATGAGTGTAAGTCTCTTTATAGTTCCAACGGATGGGTTTATGGTGGATAGTTCTGCAGTAAAACTTGGGGTGCCGTCCTGTAGGATCTCTGCCAACCATAGGTGGATGATGGTGGATGTGGTATATTTTGGCGGTGTATCTCAAAAATGCTGGTGGTATTCAGGACAATCATAGTCATCTGGACAAATCCTGATGAGTCCCAAAAGTGACGACTGGGTAATGAAAGTGACGTATTCCCAAAACATTCTTTGCGGCAAAGGTTGTTTGATGTTTTCTCAAGTCATTTGTAATTGGTTGTAGTACTAATGCACATTGGGCAATGACTTCGGTTGATGCTTAATCAGTATTTCATAGAAAAAAAAACTAAGGACTATATCATCAACAACTTGGCTCTAAAATGCTCTGAAAATAAACATTCCCAAACCCTAGTTTAGTGATGTTTAGTGACATATTTCTTCATAGGGTCGCATGCGCAACCCAAACAGCTTCCGGCGACACAACTTCTCGATTTCGCCCAGGGCACCAAGGTACAGACTCCATGAATACTGCAGTTCTAGGTACCCCATATGATCCATGTATGGTATATTTACCTACAAAACTGAGTAATTTTTAGGGTATATAAATGTTGGTAAATATACCATACATGGAGCATTTGGGTACCATACACCATAGTTACTAGGGTTATAGTCCAATTTTGCTATCTAGGCAGCCCCCCCTTTGTAGCATTTACGATGTTTTCTACCAACGCGACCATCAAACCTTACTGGATGGGATCAAATCTTAGATACCACATCACCATTTTGATAGGTGGTATAAACTTACCATTCCCAGGAAAATGGGTGGTTTATGACATTGTTTTTACCCACATTACCAGTATAGCTGCATTCAAAACTCTTACAATTGAGATGTCGCAGTTTGTTTCTCCAATTACTTATCATGATCGCCAATAAGTCTGTCAGGGTCACATTCAATTCATGGATTACATAACCCCTATGATTTTGTGTACACATTTTTGTTGGTCAAACTCTCCAGTTCTGTTGAGACAACCAAAACTGCAATTTGTGGTCATCGTTGGAGTCTGCGAATTTACCTTCTGTAAACACAGGTATCACTTGAGAACATATGCAGCTTTATCGACCTGAAAAAACATGAGGAAAACAGTATCAACAATAAACAGTTTGATTCTGAAATCCCAAGTTTTGTTGGATTACTAGTCAAACTTGTTACCCTAGCCATGGAAAATCACCATTTTTAATAGGTAAACCATCTATAAATGGGCCATTTTCCATGGCTATGTTAAATAACCAGAGGGTAACATATTACAATAACTGAGGGACAACAGTTTTGCACCATTGTTTGAAACTAATTACCAGATTTCAACAATTGTGTGTGTGTCTGAAAATGCTGTATACTCCCGAAGGGCCATCATTAAGTAATAGGGATAGTGATGATTGACCAATGCCAATTTAAGTACCCTCTGGTAATTTAACATAGCTATTGAAAATCACCATCTTTAATGGGAAAATCCACTATTAATGGTCATGTTCAATAGCTACGTTAAATTACCAGAGGGTATCCCCTATTTTCAAACAAACCCAACATGTGAAACCACTCATGCCTACACGCAACTGCGCGACCGAGCTCCGCGCAAAGGAGCGGTGGGGCCTCGTCACAGATCCATGGCCGAGAAAACGAACAAATGGATACAGTTATGGCCCTTAACATACTGACTAAGAAAACACCATTCAAGTCATATATAACCTTAGTTGCAGGAGTTATTTCATCCCTTTCATAACTGGGGTTCTTAATGTATGGATTGTTTAACAGTTTAACCCTTAAACAAATAAAGGCAATCAAACAATGTTAAATATGGTTAAACCCTTCATGGCGTTTAACTATTTGTGTTAAGTTGCTTTCGGAGGTTTTGCCAGGGATCCACCAGCGTTTCATTCTAAAAAAACGTTTCGTGTGTTCAAGAGAGAGTACAAAACGTTTCTTGCGTTTTTTCTTGGAAATGGTGCCGAAAAAACGTTTCTTTCAAAATTACATGCCTATCATCACTGCAGTGAAAACTTGATGCGATTCTGAAACCTCCTGAGTGAGGGTTTTTTCTGATTAAAAAAATCTAATTACTGTAGGAAGAAATGTTTCTAATAGGGAAAACAAAATTGGCTAAAAACGAAAGATCCATCCAACAAAGCCATTGCTTGAAGTTCATCGAGGAAATGCAATTTTGCACATCTAGTTCTGAGACTTGAGACCGTGTTGCTACAGCTCCAACTTTGGGAGTGTGGTGGCCCAGTGATAATGGGTAGCAGCAATCTGCGTTGAAGAATGCCATGCTTGATCATTTTTGTCTGAGATGCCCAAGAATGCAGAATGGTGATGGCTGAGCGCTCCCACCAACACATTAAAGCGGGACTATCCAGTAAAATTCTAAATTCTACGACCCATGCAGCGAAAATCCTTTTGGAGCACTGGAGCTTTGGCCTCTGCGATTCAGCTGCGGGCTGCGAAATGGGCCTTTTATCTCACAGCTAAGATGTGAACTCTAATGCCTGTACCCTCCTTTGGCGAGCTGCTGGGGTTGGAGCATTTTTGGAGGCGATGGTGACTTCAACTTGACCAAGCTGGTGCCGACTTGACATGCTCGGCCAATTCCATCCAATCGCGTCTGGCAATGGAACGGGGCGTCTCAGGTTGTCGTCTTTGCTTTCTTTTTGGCCTGCTGGGGCTGACAGAACTCGACTTGCGAACCTGGGACCCAATCGCATGAGCATCTTGTTGAGTTGGGAGCGGGGCTGATGATTATAACGCCACCAGGCATGTGGACAATGTCCTCGTCTCTGGTGAAACCAGCGACTGCATTTCGATATCTTGGAAGCAGTGTGCCACTGAACGACAACATGATCCGCCCAAAAGAAGCGAAGCCTTTCCAAGGCGACCTTGACAGGAGAAGCTGGAACAGGGTCATCACTTGCAACCAGAACTTCGTGCTCAGTCAGCAAACGCTTCAACTGCTCTAGGTTATTCGTGCAGGTTTGTTGATGTAAACCGACTAAACTTTACATGTATTCATAAAGAATGGGTTTGGACGATTTATTTTATGTGTGTTCCTATTTGATATGGTTGTTTTCAGGTTTCATGTTTTAAATTTCAGTTGTAGAGACAACCTGTCATGAAACTTTTGGCCTCCCCAAACTTGCCCAAATCCTTGTGACAAACCCCTTTGGACATGGCTATGACATCCCTTTTTTTCTGCACAGAAATCTCCACATCTGCCATTCAATTCTTTAGCTTGAAAAATGCTACATATTCTTGCTGGTTTGTGGATCTCGTGCCTCGTGCCACACATCTAACACCACAAACGCATCTCCAAAATGCCAAACAAGTACTCTATGGCCGCTCAAATCCATCCAAAATACTAATATGTTTTTGCAACTAAAAACAATCCATGATTTCTTGTTGGATCAGTTATATGTCATGATTGTACCCACTATTGCACTCCAAGGTACACACGCACCAAGCGCACACCTGACTGGAACTTGCGCAGGTTGAGATCAATGGCAGGATTAACTAACATAGATAGGGAACACAAATTGTTTTCCTGGGAAATTATCTGTAAAGGGTGGATGTTCATTGATTTTCCATGGCCGTGCTAATTTGTTGTAGTCATATATTATATATACACCTATGCAGCCTATGTAGTCACATATATATATATATATATACTTAAGCCTTAAGCCATGCTGTTGGACCAAAACATTACTAAGCAGCCATGATTATCACGTTTTATAGATGTTCATCCTGTCCCACTGGAAGATATGAGGCTGGTTGGCCTTTGAATGCCTTACTCTGCAGGAAAAACATAGAAACAACATGTCTGCTGTTTGCCTCCATAAGACATGTTCTGAAAAAGACATGTTTTGGTTCTCTTATGTTCTGGCCACCCCGCAAACTAGGACTAGGATGGTCGCAAAAAAAAAAAACTTGACCTACCCACTCAAGTTTTGTCGCCATGATACAGTAGGATTCTTGAGACAATTTTGAGCCCTTTTTTGCATGATCATTACAACGAAAGCCAGAAATTGAGCACTGTTCAGACCCGAAATGTCATTTCCCATATGATCCATGTATAGTATATTTACCTACATTTGGGTGATTTTTAGGGTAAATGGTGGCAAATATACCATACATGGAGCATTTGGGTTTCATTATACTGGTTGGTTCATAGGCATTCCCAGTTGACCGTTGTTGATGCTCCCCAACATAGTTTGGATAGTATAACCCCCACAATCATCTACCATATCCACCAACAATCATGTGTCAACTATATTCATATGTGATAATTAAACCCCGCATAAATGAGGCAAATCCATGTCAATACTCACTGTTCATGGTTAACTCTGCATTTAATAAGAGTTTTGCAACCACTGCTCAATTGAGTTTAACGGCCAAAAAAAGACACGGCGCAATGTGGCTCTGATTGTCTGCCAGCTTGCGGCGTTGTGAACTCTCCAAGTGCCACAATCAGCAAGAAGAATGTTAGAAAATCCCCTTCGATTTTGCTCTCATCAAATTTGTCATTCAAATGCAACTGGTTGGTGGTATACCTACCCTCTGAAAAATATGAGTTCGTCAGTTGGGATTATTCTTCCCAATATATGGAAAGTCATAAAATATGTTCCAAACCTATATATATATATGTACACGTATTTACCCATATTTTCCTATGGTTTTCCTATGGTTTTCCTTAAGCCTTAAGCCATGCTGTTGGACCATGTTTGGCCCCTAAATCGCTAGTCAGCCCAACCCTGGCAGTCATCGGGGTTGGAAGATCAGTTTCCATTAAAGATGTGCTATTTTGAGGGTCAAATGGTTAATTTACCAGAGGGACATATCCCCATGACAACGATATAATGTTCATTATAGATATACACTTATTCACTAGCTATAATTCTCCCATTGATAACATCACGGATTATCCCTTATAGAACATAATACTATTGGATATTCATCCCATGGATAATATGGGTTAAACAAATGATATTATGTAGACTAGGCATACTACTATCCCAATTATTATCCAATTTGTACCATGTAGACCATGATTAAACCTACAACTATCACAGCTGGTTGGTGGTTTCAACCCCTCTGAAAAATATTAGTCAATTGGGATCATTATTCCCAACATATGGAAAATAAAAACTGTTCCAAACCAGCAATCAGACAAAGGGTAGGTTCCCAAAAAAAAACATTGGCGTTGATTTGTCACCCATTCCAATCCAGCGCCAAGCCACGTGCAATGTGTGCGCTGCCCGTTTCGGGCGTCCCTGCAGCTGCTTGAGCGGCATCCTGTGGCAGTGACACTGATTCATTATCTCATGGTGAGTAATATGGCTGAACTGGCTGAACCTATTCGTTTATATATTTGTTTAACCTGTCAAAACTTGGGATGCAATCTAATCCAATGGATCTTTGTGGTGGTTTAACTATTAGTTTATTTTTTCAAAAATGAAAGGAAGACAGCTCAAACATATAAAGGATGATACAAGGTGGTGTCCACCAGTGAAATGTTTGCTGGTTTCTGCTCATCCCTATCAAATAGAGATACATGATGATATCTGTATCATGAACTTCAGTGAGATACTATGTTTAAAACACGCCTTGCTCAACTATACCATCTGGAAAATTTGATACGGCTACGAACAAATTCGCATGCTGAACCACTGACAGTCTTCCCATTGAAATGGTGCTTTCCATCACCATGTTGAATTACCTATAGCCTATAGCTGTTTTTTGTTTAGTTTCCAGCTGTTCGATCTATTTTGGGGTTCCGAAAATCAGGAAATCATGAATTCACTGGCCAAATATAGGGGAGGTCCTGTAGGTTTTTGATGGTTTTTGGGAACCAAATCTCGGAATCAGGGGGGAACATGTTCACCAACAATGGACCTTGAAATGTCCTAAATATGATAGGTTTTGCGTTCATAGTCCAGTTGCTACTGATGGATACTCCATCACATATATATATATGTATATATAATGTAACAACTGCAAGGATGTCAACGACAATAAATCTGAGATTTTAACAGCAAGCATTGGGATACAACATAGAAATGCAAAAAATGATTCAACAAATCAACAAATCAATACCCTCTGGTATCCTCTGGTGATCAAATAATATGCTATTGTTGCTATGGACTTTATGACCCATTTAGTTCAATGATTTATCTATTATGGTTCATTTATCTTTTCACCACATCATATCATCATTCACCAACATTTCTATTGGGATCATCATCCCATTTCTATCTTCAAACACACACACACAAACAACAACGAACAGCGAACATATCCACTTAAATTTCTTAGTTATGAACCCTCACAAACCCATAGTATGTCTGGTTGGTGGTTGAGCCACCCCTCTGAAAAATATGAGTCAGTTGGGATTATTATTCCCAACTGAATGGAAAAAAATGTTCCAAACCACAAACCAGTGTTTAATCTTCAGGTTGATCTACCCTTCCGGTGTCATCAAACATGGCTAGCTGGGAAAATCCTTGAACTAAATGGAGTTTTTTTTTCGCTGGGAAAATCATCGAACTCCGTGGTGGATTTTCCAGCTTGCCATGTTTGAGTACCCAAGGGTCATTTCACCATTAATCACCATTAAATTACCATTAATCATCATGTTTGGTGCCTAACTCGTTCGTCAACCCAGCTAGGGGCCTCGTGTTCAAAAAAAAGTCGACACGTCATTCGATACTCGTTGGTTCCTAGGATTTTTTAAGGCCATGGATTGTCAAACCAACCATCAATTATCAACTAAAGATCGCCATAAAATCGCCATTCAATGGCCATTCAATCCCATTAAATCACCATGGAAATCCCCTAAAATGTACTAAACCACTGGGTTTAGCAGCCACTGCTCAGTTGCCTAGTCAAAGTTCCCAGCATGTTGGGTGGAAATCCCCGGCTGCCCGGTTGTTCTCGCCGTACCTTTAAGGCACTACTGAGGCGTTGGTATCCCTTCAGCAGCAAAGACCAAGCGCCAGGAACTTCCTGGGGATATCATGGGATACCTGGAATTTGCTAACAGAGATGGCTGTTGCTTGGTGATTATGGTGATGATGATACCTGGAAAACATTCATCAACAATAAGTAAGGGTTAAAAACCATCATTAGAAATTATCTGCCTATAATCAATTATCAGTTATTGTGACAATAAAGGATTCACTACTACTCGTTTGCTATCTAACCTGGGGACTCTTAGTTATTCACACCCGTGATAATAAGAACTAATCCCTATCTATCAACAATCCAGAACTTGCTATGAATCATTGCCAATCTTAGATACCCTGCAAACAATGACAAATTCTTTGCTGGTGAACGTAGATATTCCCTTTGATACCCAGCAAGACTAGTTAGGATTAGTTTCTACCCATCTAAGCTTAACCTAGAAATATGGTTTTCCCAGCTTATAGGTGATTTGCACATATGTTCCTATGGTTTTCCTATGGTTGACCTAGTGAATGGCTTATCCATGGTTATCCGGTGCCGGCTGTTGCATCCGCTACCATCCCAGCTATCATCAGCGTCGTGACCTGAGCCTTTCTCCTCAGTTCATCCATATCCCAATGTTTGTTGGATACCCTCTGGTAACCCTAGGAAAATGGTGCTAAACCATAGGAAAACCATAGGAAAATGGTGATTTTATAAATGGTGATTTAACCACTAGGAAAATGGTGATGAAAAATGGTTAACAATGGTGAATAATGGGATGATATGGGATTTACCCTCTGGTTATGACTAACATGGCCATGGTATAGATGGCCCGTTGAAATAGATGGTTTCTCTGAACATCGAGGAACCAAATACCCTGCGTCCATTTAGCGTACCCCTGTGGATCCACAGGGGATTTTCCTCCTCTTCCCAATGAACGTTGCCATTCGGGGGGTATACTACTTCATTTTCAGACACACCCATTTACCAGTTGCAATGGATTACCAAGTGCAAATTCCAATCACAATACATGCTTGAACCACCATTAAAATAACTCATCAACCAGGATTATTGAAAACAAATCGTTGTTCAATTTGGGTTGAATCCAATCCGAAAATCTCGATGCGAGACTCATCAAAGAGTTCCATCGCATCTACCACGATCTCTCCTGGCGAATGCTGGCGATAGGGGATATATATATATATATACATATATATATATAATTGGAACAAGAACACGGTTATGGGGGTTTACCATGGATCCAACAATCAATATTTTTCATATGGCGGTTTGATATCAAAAGAAATCCAAGAATCAATATAGAAAAACATGGTGGTTTTATCATCAAAAAAACTTGGGATATCACCAAGATGTCAAGAATTTCTAGCCAACAGTTATACTGGTCGGTGGTTGACCTACCCCTCTGAAAAATATGAAAGTCAGTTGAGATGATGAAATTCCCAATATATGGAAAGTCATAAAATTCATGTTACAAACAAAAAAAACAGTTATACGTTGTGAACAACGGAACTTCATTGGTTCATTTCACCGAGGGAAACTGTGGAGTGTGATAGAAGCCGTGCTGTTTTGGCGATAGAAAACTGGCAATAACTAGGGGGGTGTTGTTACAAAAATCATGAGTTTTTTTTTTACAGGCATCTATTGATGAGTTCTTTTAACAGGCTTTGTTCTTATTCACCCAGATAAACTCCCTATGATGTAAACAAAAATCGTATGAAACATGAGCCCTACTATACTATTAATCTAGATGGAATAGTTCAATGTCTTCTGCCGTTTGAAACGTTTATTTACCAAAGTAGTGGCCGGGGGCGGTCTTGTGCCCGTCTCCGACTTGATCTTGACCAAACCATGCAGCAGGATCCCCCACTGTGGAAACTCAGGGACCAAAACTCAGGGACCAAAACTCAGGGACCAGAAGCTGCGAACGCTCTTTCCTATATATATATATATTATAATAATAATAATAATGATGATGATAATAGTAATGATACTATTCTATTTATATATACAGTATATATAGTTTCAGGTGATGCTCAATGGTGCAAGGTTTCTTGTCTGTCGGTCGGGAACATTTCGTGCCCTCGGCCCATCAATTGCTGTTCTCGCGTGAAACATGTCCGCTGCCAGGACAGGCTTTCGTAGGGCTCATGATCTTCAAGATATCATGGGAATAATTCATCCAAATGAAATTCAGTTGCCGTCCAACTAACATCTGGTTTGAGAATGTACCATTCATCTGGGCCACCAAAAAACATATATACTGTATATATATATAAATACATGGTCAATGTTTCATAGTCCACAAAAAAGTAACCTTTTGCTGGTTGGCTGGTTATGTTTTATAGCAAAACACTCGAGGATTACACTAGCCATCCAGTTGGTTGGATATATCAAGGCAATTTGGAAAATGGCTCAATGGTCATTCCAGGATCCAACAGATGGAGGTACGTAAACGTACCATATTTCATGCCATATGTTGTGGGTATATTCCCTGACTTAGGCCTGAAAAATAGGCCTTATATATGGATATATATGGTAGGTACCTCCAATGAATCGGATCCTGAAATTCCCATATTTCATGGCCATCAGCCACGGGATTTTGGAGTACCCAAATTCAAACAACCAACATTTTTGACCTATGACAATTAGGGCTTCAAACTACCTCAATTATGTTAGCAATAACACATGTGCCATGTAGAATAACGAACTATGGATCGCTATTTTTGGGATGATTCCACAAACCCTGCGAGCGGTAAATCAGTCAGTCAGAATGGACAAGTAAAACCAAAAAAGGACATGATACGGTCAGTGTAGCTACTGATACTATTTTATTGATATATTATATATATAATAATGATGATGATAGTAATGATATATAATAATAATCGTGAAAACACATCATCAATTTTGTGTGGGTACTCAAGATGATTGATCTTCACTGTTTGTTCATCAGCAAACTGAAGTCAAAGATCATTGGATACTGATGCCATCTGAAATCATAAGTGATTCATAAACCTGAAACCATAGCAAAAACTGGTTGGTGGTTTTAACCATCTTGAAAAAGTATTAGTCAATGGGAAGGATTATCCCATATAATTATTATGGAAAAAATGTTTGAAATCACTAACCAGATAACAATAATCACTAAACCATTGAAATACCATCAACAATCTGAGATCACTGCATCTGGAAATCAACAGTTACCCTCCAAACTAACATTAACATTGCTATGATAAAAATGGATCATTTAGTTCGATGATTTACCTACACAAAACTGGTTTGTGGTTGACCTACCCCTCTGAAAAATATAATATAGTCAGTTGGGATGATGAAATTCCCAACTGAATGGAAAAACAAAATTCATGTTCCAAAGCACCAACCAGAAAAGGTGATTGCCAGAGCCATGTTGGTTCACCATATTGGTACTTGGAACTGACCATTTTTGTGGTTTCTTTACTGATTTTTCGTGACTTTCGTCCCAGAAAAGTCCCACGAAAATCAAAAAAAAATGCTTCGTTCAAGTCCACATGGCTGACTTCCCACAGTGTGGGGGGAGACAGTTATAAGTTGGTTTACAAACCCCATGAATACTGCGGTTATAGCACCATAAACCATAGTTATTAGAGTTCTAAATCAATTTAGCTATCTAGGGGGCCTCACTTTGCAGGTATTTCAGCTGGTTGAAAACTGTTGAAAGCCTCTTGTGGCTAAAACTTCGATTTTGGCTGAAATTCCTCGTCTCATGTCTGTTCCTCAAAACTCAATTTTTTGGCTGGCAAGATATCTATATTTTCTGTTGGTTCAGTCAAAAAACTGACTTTGTTTGTTGTTTGAAATCTTCATTGATTTAATGTCTTATCATTTTTGTTGGATCAAGTCCTGAATAAGAAAAAACATCATTTCCGGGTTGAAATCCCATAAAATCCCATAAAATCCCAAATAACATTTTACAAAAACATCAAAATCCCAAAAAAAGAACATCAACAACCCATAAAATCCCATTCAAATCCAATGAACTCCCTATTTTTCTGGGTGAACTCCCCGATCTGCCGAGGCTCTGCACCGGGACGAGGTGGAGACCCCGGCATCGGCGCGGCTGAAGAAGCGGACCAGTTCCTGAGTTTTTCATGGCCATTTCACCACTAGAAATGGTGGGAAACCACAGGAAAACCATATAGAAAATGGTGATTTAGCCACTATAAATGGTGATGAATAGCATGGTGATGTTCCATAGCTTTTTGTATATTTACCAGTGTGTAAATGGTGATTTACCCATCGTTAAACTGCCAGGATCAATGGGAACATGTTGGGAAAATGTTGGGAAAATATGGTGATGTAGTGGTGAATAATGAAATTGAATGGTGATTTAACCACTATAAATGGTGGATTTCGTGGTGATTTGTTACGGTTTAACAATGGATTTCATGGTGAATAACGGGATGATCTGGGATTCACCCTCTGGTAATTTGACACAGTTTGCGAGCTGAAACATCACCATTGGTAAATTGGATGATAATGGCTTAACATGGGTGAATAATGGGATGATCATGGGATATACCCTCTGGTAAACTAACATAACAATGGAAAATCACCATGCTATTCATGGGCAAATCAACGAACCAAATGGCAATTTTCAATAGCAAACTGTTAGTTTACCAGAGAGTATAAGTGGGTCGACTAAGGTTTATAGTAGATATATCTATAATTAGATGGGCTTATATACCAACTGATAACTACTTGGATGTACGGGCCCCACGAATCGGATCTGTGGTTTATAGTCCATATAAGCCATATGTCATCCCATATATAACTGGGGGTACAACAGGGATGAACCCCGATGTACCCAAACTGATGTGGGGGGAGACACATTGCATTTTTTGCAACAACTTTATAGGGATCTTTAAGGATTATAACAAGGATATCATGGGGACATAATAGAGATATGGATTTTTAGGGATATACATGATATATTGATAGTGATACAGTAGGGATATGGATGTCTGATCATTGGATTACTGAATTATCGCTGTTAGTGAAGCAATAATATATGCCCTCTGGTAAACTAACATAGCCATGGAAAATCACCATTTTTAATTAATAGGTAAACCATCTATAAATGGGCCATTTTCCATGGCTATGTTAAATAACCAGAGGGTGCCCATATCATTTTGATGGTTTATACTATGCTGCCTGTTTCTGTAATGACCACTGTGTTTTCTATACGCAAATGGAGCCCATGTCATGTGCGACGGTTCCAGCTGGGGATGGTTTGTCCAGCGCTTCAGTTCATGAGTTGGGAAGTAGCCTCTGGCGCTACTTAACGTAGCGAACTGAACAATATCATGTTTCATACGTACATCATCATGTTTAAGTACGTTGATCATCTATTGAATCTATGAATGGGCAATGTTCCATAGGTTGCCATGATGGAAACTCTGGCAAAGTGTCTGTAGTGGAGGATGGTCATCAATTTATTGAATAGATATTCGCGTAACCATCAAAAAGGATTACCAATAATGGTGGGATGACCAGACCCCCCTATACTATGTTGTGACCATGGCACGGCACACACACACATGATTGATAAGTATCATTCACGCAACCCAAATGGAGGATTTATCAGCAATTGATGCTTGATATATATATATATATATGTAATATATCTATATATCATTAATATTATATGCTCCATGATGGGTATATGATGGGTTTATAAAGGGATATTCAATGAAAGGTCATGTGATACACATATTCAATGCTGCTCCCCATAGAGCCCCGTTTTTTCTTTATCATGATCCCAACTGGGTGGTGGTTTCAACCCCTCTGAAAAATATTACTGTTTATTGCTGTTTATGTGTGAGTCATGAGGCGGAAGAACGGCCCCATAACCCCGCAGCTCCTTGGTCACTCGCATCTGGCCGGCGTCAGATTGCACACGTCTTGCTGCGTGGCAGCCTGGCGGCCAAGCTTGGTGAGAATGATCCGGTCAATTTCATCGACCCTTGCCGACGACCACCGGACACGATAGCACACTACCCATTTGGTAAGTGCCATTGACCGTGGCTTGGCCAAACGTTGTGGCAAAATCACCCCGTTGCTTTTGAGGTACGCCTTCCACATCAGCAAGAATGGTTTGCAGCGATTGCCCCAGGTGGCACGTCCCTTCTCCGGCACTGCACTCTCACTCGTGTACCATCGCCGTTGAAAACACCACGGTCCAACATAGCCAGTACTGAGATTGAAAGCATAAAACAGCTGTATACCAGAAATGAAAACCAGTGGCTCAGACCCTTGCATCATCTCAATGCCACTGGTGGTCCACCAATCATGGAGCACCTGAATGTTGAACTGCCCATATCGCCGAATAAGTGCCGGCGCAATGACCCATTGTGAAGGCGGTGCCGGCATAGGTTGAACCGGTGCCACCACCTGTGCTTGCTGCTCAGGCTTCTGCTTCACCTGCGCTGCCAGTTTGGACGATTGGAGCAACACCCGAAGAATCGCATGGTGCAACTGCCGGTGAAAAGTTTGTGCACCACGCAACGCTTCCCATGCTGCCCAAAAACCTGAGTCCCTTCGATTGTTGATGGATTCAGCGGCGCAATCTGTCAAACTGTTGTGCCAGTAAACCCAATACTCCAAAGGCCCCGTGGCAGAGTCAAGGGCCCCATGCGACACCACTTTGCGGACTTGTATCAAGTCACGTCCCGCACCAAGAGCCACCTCCATGGCCGCCCACAAATCTGAATGGGGCCGATTGCGCTTCAAAGGTTTCTTCAGGAGCAACTTGCGTATCCCATTGACGACCCCTTGACAGTCGCACCATAGACGGACTGGCTGCCCTCTCTGCACGGCCCACTGGATGGCCCTTACCGCTGCTGTCAATTCCGCCCGGAAGGCAGACTGGCATAACCCACTCACGTGGCCTCCAAGCAACAGTTGATTGTCCAGCGACCCGGCGGGTCCCAACACCATGGTGACGGCCCATGCCGCATAGCGTAACCGCGTTTCCTGCGGATATGCACAGGTACCATCCAGAAAAAGCTCGAGCCGATTAAGGAAACCATGAGTTGGGGGATCTATTGGTGACATCTTAGAAAATCCATCATCCCGCAGCAAAAACCCAGCATACACCTCCCACTCCGGCAACAAGATCGGCCACCCATGATCACGCAGACAAGGAGGCAAAGTGGGGAGAACCTCAAGTTGAGCAGCTGTGAGATGACTCCGACACGAGGCAAAGTGGGGGCAAATCCAAGCCCGATGATGAAATCCATCAGGAGAGGAACACCAAGGACATTGGTCAGTGACGCCCGTCTGAAACTTGGCCCTAGCATTCTGGGTGAACAAAGTACCATCCAAGTGACAGCGCAAGAAAACCTGGTCTGCTGGGCTGAATTGCTTCAGCGTGCGATGGAGCTCCGGCAGGTCGACATGCTCAAGTCCATCAAAAGTGGGGCGGTGTGCCACCTGACCTGACAGAACAAAACCCCAGGCAAGGCGAAAGCGCAAAAGCAACTCATCCCAAGCCACTTGCATAAGGCTAAAGGAGCCAAACCGATCTTGAACCAAACCATGACTGCCAATACCCCAGCCCAACCTCTGCAAGCGCACAGCCAAAACTGCAGTAGGGCCATTGGCAGGAAGCCGGTCAGACGAGGTAGCAAACAATCCAAGCAAAGATTCGACTTGGTCTTCCCTGCCCAGTTCCCTGGTGTCACGCAGGGTTTGTAGGATAGCCCAACCTTCCGGATCTGATTGAACTGCCGAAGTTGCCAAATGCAGGTAGGGATTGGCTCCTTTACGATCTGCCCGGAGAGCCCGTACGGCACCTGATCTCAAGGTTTTGAAATGTGCCTCTCCAACATGAACCACAGTGACCCCATGAAGTGCTCGAGGCCAGGCCAGCAATTGCACTGCACTCAATTTATGGCGGTACGGCCCATGGCTCGCCCGCAAGCGAACCCAAACTCTCGGCAGAGTTCCCAGGCGTTTCTGGAGCTCAGCATTGTGACAATGGCGACTGAAGTTTTGATGTGCCCCCAAGTTTCGTGCTGACAAAGCCACTTTAACATCAGTCTGCTTAAATTCCTTGCGGGCACTGGCATCAGTCGACCACAGCCTGGTTTTGGCCATGTCCAGGGCTAAGTCCAATTGCCCAGTGAAAGTCTCCAGGGAAGTCCAAATGCGTTGAAAGGCCTGGGCATCTCGGAACAACAACCCCCAGTCATCGACAAAGGTGCGCAAGTCAACAGTGACATCAAGAGCTTGGAGCCAAAGATCCAACATCCAGTCAACCACAGTCATGCCAAAGACAGACAAGGCACACCCCTCCGGCAGGCCACATGTCGAGATCAACGGCTCACCAACAGACCGACGAACACGAAAGCGACGACTCTGAGACGAGACAAAGGAGACCCAGGGGCGCAAGGTGGCAACAGGAAAACCCATGAGAATCAACGCTTGCCAGAGAGGCTGGCGTGGTATGTTATTGAAACATTTCTGGATGTCCATCAAAAGTCCATGGACCGGTGCATCATTAAGGTAGGCCATTTCCAAGACTGACGCAAGCTCATACCAAATTGACTTCGCCTGTCTGGCTGGCACCCCTCCCCTGACACTTTCCGGCAACACCTGGGCAATGGACTGAAGGGCCTCACGGGCTCGCTCTGTGGACCAGATGCGATAAGCCAAACTGTAAACCACCACTGGACGAAACTCATCCACCTTCTGTGCTGTTGGTGTCTTGGCAAGACTAGAAACAAAACCTGATGCCATTTGAGTGGGCCACTCATGACCTGCCTCAACTGAACGGTAAAAGTCCAAAAACACCTCACATGCTTCCGGAGGCAGGGCAGCGAGGTCAGCTCTAGAGACACCATCTGGCCCCTTTGCAGCCCTTGGTTTCTTGTGAGCCACAGCAGATCGGAATCGGTCAACAGTCCATGGGTGCCACAACCAGTCCAACGGCCGCACGGTTCGTGAAAGAAACCCACAAATCTGATCCCATTGCCCATCCTGGACATGCGACATCTTCAGCCATCTGGGCCCCCACACCTGAGCAAAACGGGCCAAAATGGCCTCATCAGTATGCACAGCCCTCTCTTGAGTAAGGAACATTCCCGATTCAAGGCCACCAACTGAATCCACCCAGACCTGATCCTCAGAGTGCGCAACCACCTCAACCACACGCCCACCAACAACGACCGGCAAGCCATCCAGAAGCTGGCTAGGTCGAACCAAGACCAAGGAAGCATCCTCTTCTCGCACCTCCTCAACGCCAACGACCAAGCTGTCAACCAACGTATCTGCCTGGGGCAAGGGGTCATCCTTGCAGTCCTGAAAGACATAAGCCAGGTTATGCTCACGCCGAGACTTGGCAAACTGGTAACGGGCTCTGATGAGCTCTGTTTCATACTGCCGAACAAACTTGTGGAATCCATCAAAGAGGGCCTGCACATATTCCAACGCTGGACACAGAAGAGGCAGGGGTCCTACAGTACCAGTGGGCAAAGTCCATGTGCCCCGCACCAAAGTCCAAAGCCCCCAGCAAAGCCAGCAGCATGACGGATAGCCTTCCATGTTTCATCCCGGTTGAGCTGCCCGTTCCACGAATGAACCCCCTTGGCCAACAAACGACACAAAGATTGCAAACGTCTCAGCTGTCGAAAGTATCGAGCATGCTGCAGGCTGACCCCAAAGTAAGTGGGTTGGAGATCCCCTCTGCGGCCCTTTTTCATCGGACAAAGAAACTCCTTGGTGGGAACAGGAGACAAAACACCAGCACGACCACATTGCTTCTTGGAGACAAAAGACCCATCATGCTGGACACGACACTTCGCTTGCGTTTCCACCTGACCCCAAAAGGAAGCATAGGCAGCAGTGGCACCCAAAGCAAAATCCACTTGAACCTGACAAGACCAGTCCGACGGCCACGGCAAGGGGTGAGGAACATGCCAAGCCATGTGAACTTGTTGGAGTCCCTGAACAGAGAAGGTGGCAGTCACTGCGGCATGATCAGCCCAATGGTCAAAAGCCACATTGGTGCTTAGGTAAGCATGTTGCAATTCTGGCGAAATCCAAAGCTGATCAATACGTCTGGATCCCCTCCCAGTGGCCTCAGCAGAAACCCCAAACCTCCACGCACGTAAATCCTGGACTTCCCTGAAGCCCAGGGAGCGTAAGCGATCCAGCTGCGACAGTTCATCAGGGCCAAAGTTGAAATCCCCTCCAATGGCTCGAGGGCCAGCTGTTTGACACCCTATGCGGTCCACCAATTCCGCAAGGAGGGAGTCGGTTTGGAACCTGGCCTGCTTGTGGTGTGCATTGCAAGGAAGTCCATACAACAGACCAGCAGTAATCCACAGATCAGCAACGGCCATACCAACAACCTGAAGCCGGGCAGAGTCAAAAGTGGATGCATCAAACCCATGAGTCAAGGCACGGGAGGGAAACTTGGACACGAACATGACCCCAGAGTGAGAACCAACATCAGAAGAAGCTCGGCGCAGACAAGGGGCCCCAGCAATGGCATATTTCCAGGGACTACGGAGCATCTTGAGACCTTTGACAAAATCAGACACTCCTTTGGCAGACAGCTGCGTCTCAGTGAAAATCCAAGCGTCACCTTCCAAGTGATGGACCTGATCCAACTTACCATTTAGCCCACTGGGATTAGCAACCCCAAGAGTCCAAGTTTCCTGCTGGCTTTCATTGGGTCCAGGGTGAAGAGCCTCGCCAATGCGAAGAAGGCCAAAGAGCCAAAACAGCAAAAACCATCTGCGAACACCTGTGCACCGAGAACGATACAGGCGCTGCCCTGCATCTGCAGCACAGGTGGTAGAAGTCCAAGTCCAACCACCTTCTCGGCTGTGCTGTTGCATCTGAGCGACAGACACCCTATCCTGCAAAAGTGGATGAACCAAGCGTATTGAGCCAAGCAAGGACCAAGAGGTAGCTTGACATAAAACAAAACAACAGACGGATGAGCCCAGGGACACAACCCATGCACGCACCCAAGCAACAATCCGCCCCAAAATCAAGAAGATCACAAAATCCAACCCAGAGTGGCTGGGAATCCACATAGCCAAGGGCCTGAGACAAAGTCCAACGCGGCCACCAACCAGCAACATCATAAGCAAGAACCACACCAAGACAAGACCACCTGTAAGAACTTCCCAATCACATGCGGCAGTCAAGCACACGACTGGGCACCTTCATTCCTGGCGTGGCCTCTTGGACAAGAGGTGCTCAAACTGTGTCATCTGCTTGCTGAACATGCTGTCCAGCATCGTCTGCTGGTGGCAAACCTGTTGGCGAAATTGCTCCTGGAAGGTGTCCTGAAAACCCTGCATGGCCGAAGCCTGGGCGGCAATGGCTTTCTCAAAATGGGCACCCTGCTGTTGCATTTCACCTCGGATGGCACTGAACTGGGTCTGGGAGTCCTGGGCATTTTGCTGTGCTTGCTTTGCCAGTGCTTGGGTCTGACCTTGAAGTTCATTGACCTGTTGCTCAAGCACTTCAACCCTCCTACTGGCCGAATCATCCCCATCAACTTCCATTCCTGGCTGAGGCATCTTGGACATGACTTCGGCCAACACCTTCTGAGCAACATCATCAAGTGGATTGCCAATGGGAAACGTTGGAGCTTTACCCGGCAACTTGCTGGCGGCACGAGCCCAAGGGTCATGTTGTTGAAGGGTGTCGCCCTCAAAAGGCTTGGAGACAAAGGACTCCGTGGCTGACGTGGCAACAACTTTGGGTACACTTCTATCTGGCAACTCCTGGTCAGTCTCCTTGGCAATGACGACATCACCATGCACCATACGTATGAGCTTCTGTGGAGGTTCCTGAACCGACTAGACCCGAAACATCAACCCTTGAACATGGGTCTTGGTTGCCACTGCCTGAATGGGCTTCGCCACCCAGCCATTGTCAAGAAGAACCTTAGCCACCGACGACTGCAAAGTTCCAAAAGCAAAAGGACCAACCAAGTACGTGTGCCGACGCCCAGGAGGGAGAAATGTGTGACCCGGCTTAACCAGTGCAAAAACCTCAGCAGCATGCACAGTACAGCAACGCAAGCCCATCTTGTTGCCCAGACGGGCAAGGCCAACAACATGTGGAACCGTCTGTCTTTGGACCATGAGTTGAGCATGATCAGCCTTGGGAAGCCATACCACTTGGAACTCCTGGGAAGGACGCCTGCCATCAAGAGACTTGGGTTCCAAGTAAACACCCCCATGCCCCGAGAAATGCTGCACAAGCTGTTGCAGCTGCTCTGGCAACCGGATGTGGGCTGTAAACAACTCCGCATCAGAAGGCGACACCTGACTAAAGTCCAGCCTCAACCATTGCTTCCCCCACAGCTCCATCACTGGTGAGTCCATTGGCAGTGACTCAGTGCGGTGCCAGCCCTCACATCCACAGCATTCGGAATCCTTGCATGTTTGCAAGGGCGGGACCTGAGCAAAGATATGCAACATGGGGTGTGCAATCACTTCTTCCCATGGGACAGATGTCTGATCCCTGAAGACCATTGCCTTGACGACACAGGTGGGGATACTCTGAACCTCACAACTCTGCTGAATGGGAGTACGACACACAGGGACCGCACCAAGCTGAATCAAAAATCCATCAACAAGCAGTGGTTCGGAGTTGGCAGCGCAGACCAAGGGAACCCTTTGTGGAGACATGGGCAACCCCGTGGCAGGAGGAGTCTGTGCATCAACAACAAACAAGGCCAAAGGACCGGAGGACAAAGGATGCTGGGCTTGAAGATACGGGTCAATGGCAGCAACAGACACAACCACAACCCCTGAGGCAGAAGACCGGACCTGAGCTAAGCCGATTTGAGAAAGAGGCTGACCATTCTCACTTTGAAAAACTCCAGGCTCAAGACGCAGCAGGGTAGGGTCCACACTGACAGGGGCAAAATTGCCCTTTCCATGCCCTTTGGATTTGTGGTGTTTGTGGCGCTTTTGGCCGATGGGCTTGTCAGCGGAGCGTTTGTCAATTTGGGCTTGCAGTTCTTGAGGCCGCACAAGCATAAAGGGAGGCCGGCACTGATTGCCTAACCATTTCCACTCCTTCCATGGATTGCCAGCATCAACAGCCTTGCCAACTTCAAGTTCCCCTAAGGCTTTAATGGCCGCTGTCGCTCTTCCAGGAGCATCATGTGGGCTCACACCATGTTGGGTCAAAAGTTCAGCAAGACGCCCTTGCAATGACACACCAAGTCCAGCAAGATAGGGACGACGACACAAGTCAGGAACCAAATCAACAAACTCCTTGCGAAGTCCACCAGAGTAATAAACCAAGGAGTCAGGATCAGTCACCATGAGCCAGCCCCAAAGCAGATGCCTGACAAACGCAATCACCAGAGCCCCGCAATAACCCACAGGTGTAAATCCAACTGAGTGGGCCTTCCAGACCCCCATGGCTCCCCCCCGGTGCAAGTCAATCACCCGGCTCAAGGCAATCATGACATGTTCAAACTCAGGAGTAACCGACAAAGTGTGCAGCTTAGCTCCAACACCATCAACACGCCACACCAAGGGGTTCCAATGTCCTCCCAGCAACACCGCAGAAACCACAGTCGCTTCAAACCCAAGCTGTGCAATCAACCGAGCCCAAGTGGCTGAGACCTCATGCTGAACCAAGCCAGTGATCAAAAGAGGGTCCCACACATGTACATGCTGATCACAGTCTGTACCAATGGCGGTTTGCAAAAGTCCATGTAAGACCTCATCATCACCCCAAACCGGTCCCTGCATGTCAAGCAAACTGACCCTTTCACATCTGGACATGGTCGGGGCACGCAGTTGCTGAAGGACACCAAAATCAGTGACCGGACCCGGATCAGTTGCATCAGCAGCTCGGACATATCGGAGAAGCTCATCAGCAGTCAAGCAGCATGGAATGACAGGATCGGCATACACAGACGCTTCAGTCCACGTGGGAGGGACAAGGGACACAAGGGACTTCGACGGCAAAACTGAGGCCAAATCCAGGGATTCCCCATCAACCCGAAGCTGAAAACCTGTGACATCATTCCCAAGTTTCTGCTCTGCCGCAAGCAAGTCCATACCAGTGGCATTGGGGGAGATCTTCAGCTGGAGATCCGCATCACCTGAGCACGGGCGGCTGAGCGTGATGCAAGCATGGGCTGGGGAATCAACATCCTCAATTGGATCATCAGAAACAGCATCCACCGCAGTGGGAGGCACTGGAACAGGCCATTTTTCCCTACATTCAGCAATTACCTGGTCCATGTAAGCAGTGAGAACCTGCATGGGTTGGCATGGAGACACCTCAAAAGTCCTATCCAGGCATTGACGGACATGGGCAAAAATCCAAAGCCCCATCAACGGCGAGACTGCTTGGCCAACTCCCGACATTGCAAGCCGCAGGTTGTGTCCCATGGAGACTTTGGGACTGCCCCCCATCAAAACCCACATCTCCAACGGGTGCAGATATCTGGCATGTTGCATGCACTGGTTCATGTGTGTCTGACAGGTGTCCAAACGAGTCAAAGTTCCTACCAATCCACGCTGTTTCAACCTGGCTTCCGAGAGGGCTGCCCTGCATCCACATGCGCAGGTGTACATCTGATTGCCAGCACTGTGAAGTAAGGTAGGCAGCTGTTCCATGACCCGAATCCAAACCGCATCCATACCCCCCGCTGCATATTGATAGTACTTGGACAACTCATACAAGTTCAAAACCAATTGATCTTGATCAAACTGGTGCCAGGGGGTGAAGGCAGGGATGAGGTCATGAATCACACGGATTTGGTCACCCTTTGGCATGTCAGGAAGTTCACAAACCTGGACAACTGGGGCTGTCAAAACTGCAATCCATCGGTCACGCCTTGTGCACCATGTGTTTCCCAATTTGAGGATGCTTTGGGTGAGTCGGTACCCTGTGGCAACACAAAACTGTCGAAGCATCTCTTGGGCCTGAGCATCTCGCAAAATCTCAGGGGTGCACTCAAGAATCAAAACTGCAGCTTGGAGCAACCAACCAAGGTGAAGGGACTTAGGAAGCGACTCAGCACGGGGGTCAGACATGCCTCTGCGATCCCCAAGAACTGAATGAGGCTGACAGGCAATGCCAGAGCAAACAATGCCATGAAACAACCCTTGACCAAGGAGTTCACGAAGCACAACCGAGTCCATAAGGTCCCCAGCATGAAAAGTGGCCCCCTCATGCAACGACTGGTAAAGTCCACGCCAAATCCCATTGTGATCCACCCCTGCCTTGGCATGAAATCCAAGCCGATCAATCACAGCAGTAAAACCTCCCATCCCAGCACACAAATCGACCACCTGTGTAAGAGCCGCCCTCGTACAGACAGGCACGGGAAAGACCAAGGAGTCACCATCCACCTCCATTTGCATTGGGGTTAAAGAAGTCACCAAGAGATCTACCCCAACCATGGTCGCCTCAAACGGCAGCTTACCACGTACCCATATTTTGAGGCCCCGTCGATCTGAACTTTGGGTTAAGTGCCAACTTCCTTCGGAATGACAGATAAGCGCCAAAACCAGTGAAACCCTTTGACCAACCGAAAACTTTGTCCAGTCCATGGCAAACCACAACGAAAAAGGGGGCCCCCAGGTGTTCTGTTGGCACAGCCCTACTTTCTGGAAAGGACCTGGGCCAGAGCTCTGAAAAATATTAGTCAGTTGGGATGATGAAATTCCCAACTGAATGGAAAAATAAAACATGTTCCAAACCACCAACCAGAAATGGGGATGGGTCAATACCTATAGATACCATTTTTAGTGGGTTATTCACATCCATAAATCCCAGCTATTTTGATGTGAACTACAGGGGTACTATTGGTTTTGACACACTGCCAAATATACAAATCTATGCCATGATCCCATCAAACCTCAACAAAAAGCCGGCCGAGATGCATCACAAATCGCGCTGGCATCGGGCGATGGGTTTGATGAACTCCGGGTGCCGGGGCCACGGGGCCGCGCCGCGTGGATTATGGTGGATTCTATGAATGAACATAGGGACTTAACCAATGAAGTTGTGGATCTCAGAAATGACAATTGCGATCAAAATTGGGATCCAACATGATTTAGCCAGCAAAAATGCATATGAAACCAACCAACATGGTAATTGGCCCAGGAAATAAATCGATATCATCAACTAAGATGGCTAGGTCGCTTGACAAAAAATGCTGATGAACCACCAAGAAGGATATTCGGCGCCCTCTTCATCTGGCATTTGATATCATTCCACCCAAACTGTAAATGCCCTGGTGACCAAAGCAAAAACAACACTATCAAAAAGACACAAAGGATTGTTGTACACTGGTATATGTTATCTATTGAATTACACAATATGAACAGTCCATGTGTGGTTCTGAAAAATTGTGATCCATCACATCTCACCACAAAAGGTGCACTGTTTCACCATGGACTCCCTTTTTGGTGAGCATATTGACATTGAAACAACACATGTAAAATGCAAATAACATACACGTAAAATGCATATACAATGCACATAAACATGCATATGAAATGCAAATGAAACTCATATACTGGTTGGTGGTTGACCTACCCCTCTGAAAAAATATGAGTTCGTCAGTTGGGATGATGAAATTCCCAACTGAATGGAAAGTCATAAAATTCCACGGTTCCAAACCACCAAAATCCCACGGTTCCAAACCACCAAAATTCCATGGTTCCAAACCACCAACCAGAAATTCATATAACATACGCGTCAAACATGTTGTTGGACCCGTCGAGCCTCTGATTTGGAATGGCCACGGTGTTTCCAGCCATGGCTGAGAGGGGTCATGGATGGCTACAGGGTGGTGTCCCAGTTCGTTAGCGTTCAGTTGGTACCAATAACTCCAATTTCACTATGGTTTTTGTTGGTGATATCTTTATAGTTAATGGGATCTATAAACCAATTTATAGCTGGGGGGCACCACCTTGTAGGGATAAGGGCCAGTTGAATTTCGACTTTGGCCCTCTTTCTTCTCGTGCGTGAATTTGATGATGCTTCAAATTGATGATTTTCAATTCTGGTCATTCCCAGAATTAATCTCAGGGTCTTAAGTGTTCATATACCGATCATATGCCGAACATAGATCTGGCCAAAGCTTCCAATCCCAAAAGGCAACGGAGTTCCCAGCGGCGTTCCCGGCCGGCTGTGTTTGAAGATGGGCGCCCTAGACCCAAAAATATCAATTGTGGTTTAACATAGCTATGAAAAAACACCATTGATTATAGGTAAATCAACTAAAAATTGCAATTTTCCATAGCTATGTTAAATTGCAGGGTATCAAGTGTGATTTATGGAAAATGATGCCTTTTTCCATGGAATTAGGGGGAACTACTTTCAGCAGTTGAGCCACATGCCTTTGTGCTAAAATGGTGCCCCATTTTACGGAACCACGCCACGCTGGGGGGATCATTACGTTTTAATGGGATTTTGGAGCAAGTACATGCAACCATATTTTGAGACAGGCCACATTTTGTAAGTGTTGGTCACATTTTGCAACAAAACATCCACAGACAAAAACCTGTTAAAATGAAGGAAATTCACAAATGAAGGCCAACGATGGTCACAGTGATATGAGCGTTTTTTCAGACATGTCGACATAAATTTGATTAATTATGCTATACTACAAGGTGGGACCCCCACAATAGCTAAGTTGGTTCATAACTTGAAAAAAAACAGTCATCTCCTGATCCTTGCTGTCGATGTTGCCAGCAAGTGTGGCATTACCATCCCCAATGTTCACAGTTAAACATCCCCAAATTCACCATTTTTATGGGTGGTACAAACCATCGAAATATTGGCAGTTTAGCAACTATTGCTTTACGCACGTGATCTATAGAGGATAAAAAAGATGAGTTTCATATTTTAAACCTCCATTCATGGAGGATTTCCCAGTTGTTTGATTGCTATAGAGGGTGATCGGACCAACATCACATATGCGATACATGCCCTTTTTTTCACTCCCCCTGAATGACTATCACCCATTCATTGTGACGGATCAATGCCATGAAACGTGTAGGTATTGGCGTCAATTGTGGATCCTTCCATGGTCTCATGGATGGCAAATAATCTACGGTCTGGGATCAAATTTATCTATCATCTAGGTATGGGATCATAATTTTGGATCTTTTATTATGCTAGATAAAAATTCGAAACATGATCCAAATCTAGATGAACGAAAAAACTCAGCGGATATCCATTGGATCATGCCCCCAGTTTATTGGATATATATATATATATTTTTCTATTTAAACCATAAACCCTGACATATATTGTATATATATATAGATAGAGGTTTCCTGAAATGGGGGTTCCCCAATTCATCCAGTCATCATGGATGACCATTTTACTTCGTATTGAAAGCCATGACTTGGGGATCTCCCAAGAACCCGCCGAAGATCGAACAGTGCAGCCAGCAGTGCAGGACTTATACCCAGACCCTCCAAGTTCCGAGAAAAAACGCAGGTAAACTGCTAAAATCATTGGGTAAGAGATTGATTTCTATGGCTACTGGGTCTACTTTATGGTGTAGTTCCACTAATAAGTGGCTTATTTCAAAACCATAGGGGCACCATACTCCAACCTATGGGGGATAAAATCCCATAGTTATACTTATGAATAACCCCCAACTTTGGAAAAAACACGGGGCAAAAAATCGGGATACTCATGGATGGAGGGTCTCTTTCGTCTCCCCATTGTACATCATTGTACAACACCCCATGCCGCAAGTGACCACATCGGGGCACTTCAATGGGGACCCATTACCTTTGGCGTAGTTTTGTAACTGCGACCTGGGTGCGCTGCCAGATGGATGTGGATGAACAACCCGCGGGGAAAAACCCAGAATCCTGTGGATTTTGCCAAGAGAAATGGGAATTTCACTCGCAAAAAAAAGTGACATTAAGCACCAAGAATTTAGTACCGCTAGATACTTGGACATGCATCCCACTAAGTGGGCAATAACATATAAACCTGTTACAGTATCTGTGGTATATACATGGATATACATCAGTTTTACATGGGTTATTACTTGGTGGTTCATCCCACTTACCAGGTAGGTTATATCCCTGGGTCTAAGTGGAATAAGTAGGGTTAAAACGTTATAACCTACTTACTAAGTGGGATGAGCCACCAATTAACCCCTTACTTCAAGGCATTTGAAACTGCCAGAAAGGGAAGCTGTCTGACCCAGACCACCCTTGGAGTAGAAGTTCAACCAGGGTATTACAAGGTATTACCCAGAAAACAATGGAGTATACCCGGAAAAAAAAACATATTTATCCTCCAAAAAATCAAATCTCCAGTGTATTTTTCTCTATATAAATATTTGCGAAATCACTTTTAGTATATATAATTATAGATTATATACTATATATTATATATTATATTATATAATTATATATTATATAATTATACATATAATATATATATATCATATATAGTAATTATATATTATATTTATCTCTATAAATCCTACAATGAATCGATTATATAATTATTTATCTAGGTATTATTTATTATATATTTATTTCCACCATTAACATGTTCCATTCACATAACTCCATTCATCTCCATCGTTTAATATCTATTCTATTCCAAACATTAATATTGTGCATTGTCTTACTTGTGCTAAACGTAGGGAATTTTCGGGAATGATCCACTGGCTAACTATCAATAGCCATCCCAGCAACCCCCAGCAACCCCCAGCAACCCATCCAGCAACCCTACGTATTTAGCACCAGTAAGTTGTTGAAATGGCAAACTGGTTGGTGGTTTCAATCCCTCTGAAAAATATGGGTTCGTCAGTTGGGATGATGAAATTCCCAATATATGGAAAGTCATAAAATTCCACGGTTCCAAACCACCAACCAGATATATAGTTATATATATATGCGGGTATATCTGGGTGATTTACCCATATTTTCCTATGGTTTTCCTATGGTTATATCCCCATCTATTCCCCATGGTATTCCCTGCTATATCCAGTAAGTTGTTTAAATGGAAAAATCATAGATAATAATCCATCAATAACTATCAATAGTACATCCATTCCCATAACTATCAATAATAATCCAGATGACTATCATAATTCCCATAACTATCAATAATCTCCAGACATCTGCCATTCGCGTAAGCCGAACTCGTTTCTAACCATCGGCTAAGCCGAAAGAGTCAGGACGATCCGGACAGGACGAGATGCGCGGACAGGATTCATGGGACTTCTAATTCCCAAATGCTCCATGTATGGTATATTTACCAACATTTACCCTAAAAATCACCCAGTCATGTAGGTAAATATACCATATATGGATCATATGGGTATGGGATTTACCCTCCAATCAACTAACATAGCTTTGGAAAATAAATGAAAACGATCCATTTATAGATGATATACCTCTTGAACATGGTG